GGACTGTTTGATAGGAGATGCATTGCCCGTAGGAATGCGATGTTTTACCCGATTTGTTCTGCCAATGTCCGATAAATCTTTTGACACAACGTCCTCGAAGTCATTTAAAAGTTCGTGTAACTTGACAATCGTTGGTAGTAGACTTTAGAGAGTGGCTCACCTCACATTGAGCAAATGTCCCAAGTGTGCATCCCTTATGTTTACACTTATGATGCTTACAGACGGATGTAACTTGACAATCGTTGGTAGTAGACTTTAGAGAGTGGCTCACCTCACATTGAGCAAATGTTCCAAGTGTGTTTACCTTATGTAACACTACTGGCTCCGGAGAAGGGTTGAATAACCTGACAGGTACCTGGTTATCTTTTGGTTGGGTTACAACTCGGGCCACCAAGACTGAGTGCTTACCCTAAAATCTTGGACAGGGCTCTATTAAACCAGTGACAGTATCACTTACCGCCCTAACTTTTGCAGACATGATCATTTCATGTCTTCCCGGTATCGTAACCGTTTTCACCAAACTAACCCGACTACATGTCCAATCTTCCCGCTTACAACCCATGTCTCTATTAAAACCAGCCTTAAAATTAAGCAATTTTTATTAATTCAACACCGATCAAAATCCTGAAAATGTCAACAAACATTGTTTAATGCTTTTAAGTAATTTGGTTAGTTAAATCACATGTTAAACATACAGAAGTTACTTGATCATTCGTCAGCAGATCTTCAATAACTTATCAATACTAACAATAATGAATAACATATTACCATATTTCCGTAATCCTGGCAGTGTCTATTTCACATTACCTACCAATTGGGAAGAAACTATAACCAGTTTGACTGAAAAGAAAACTTTGGATGACACTTGAAGGAGATATCGACTTCTTTGAAAACTTAGCTGAACACGCTTAATCATTGGTTGATAAATACTAATTAGATTTCTTGCACAACAATGAAATCTTGGCAAACAATTGTTGTATATAACGTGGTTGAACTTCATAAAATTTATCCATTATTACTGCATTTGGTGATCATAGCTAAAATGGTGCAAATTATAGTAACTGTCAAAATACAGATGCTATACCACCAGATGGAAATCTAAATAAGCACATTTCAGTTAGTCATGGCATGAATGATGAAGAATGTCGACAACTTCTATCTGTCTTTCTGATATTCATAATGAAGATGAAAAATTTTAAAAGATTTATCAGACAAATTGATCGTCAACCGTTGTTCCTGGCAAATGCTGCTTCCTACGTAGGTAGTGTAAAAGTGTAATCCGACATCACGTGGAAGCAATATTTTGATAAGTTGAATGAAGGAGAGCGACAGAACATGGATGGCAATTTTAAAATAAATACATCTTACTTGGGAATGAAAGCTGTTATGTTAGCAGCAAAAATGCTGAAGAATCCATCTTGTTGGAACATGTTTTTAAACTTTTCTCAATAATATCTTTCGATCCCTTTACCACAAGATGTTATAATACAATTTATTAAAAATTGATCCACAAAAATCTGCAGAAGATGTCTGTCTTCAATTAAAGCATTGTTCTTTACCTTCAAACGGAAAACAACGACATCCGCCTGCACAGTTGTACACGAAGCCATCATAAATTATTCATCGCAGACCTTTGGCTGTAAACAAAACGAAAATAATTCTAAAAGTCTGCAGCTGATCTTGCCTGTCAAGTTGCTTGGGCACTAAATCACTTGGACAGAGAAGATGAAATCAAAATAATTCCACATCTAATTAAATTCATAACAAAATCATTTCAACATTTCCTAAATAAGTTGATCGATGTAAAATTCATTCAAAAAACAAAACTTGATGAAAGAAATTGGAAATTGCCAAATATTTTGTAGATGTTTTGCAAAAGATTTTGCAACTATAAACTTGCAACTAAGTACTTTATAAAATAACAGAAATTCAAACTAAAGTGTTAGGTGTTGATCATATTGATGTTTCATATTCGTACAACGAGCTGGGTGTTCTTTGGAAGAATGGAGAATATGAAAATGCAAAGATTTTTGAACGAGCGATGAAAATTCAAACAGAAACATTTGGACCTGACCTAATATTGCGACAACGTACAACAATCTGGGTCAGTTTACAGAATATGGAGAGTACGAAAAAGCAAAAGATTTTTGAACGAGCGATGAAATTCAAACGAAAACATTTGACCTGACCATGTTAATATTGCGACAACGTACAACAATCTGGGTTCGGTTTACAAAGATATGGGAGAGTACGAAAAGCAAAAGATTTTATGAACGAGCGATAGAAATTGAACGAAAGCATTTGGACCTCATGTTAATATTTGACAACGTACAACAATCTGGGTTTTTACAAAGATATGGGAGAGAACAAAAGCAAAAGATTTTATGAACGAGCGATGAAATTCAAACGAAAACATTTGGACCTGACCATGTTAATATTGCGACAACGTACAACAATCTGGGTTCGGTTTACAAAGAATGGGAGAGTACGAAAAGCAAAAGATTTTATGAACGAGCGATAGAAATTCAAACAAAGCATTTGGACCTGACCATGAATATTGCGACAACGTACAACAATCTGGGTTGGTTTACAATAATATGGGAGAGTACGAAAAGCAAAAGATTTTATGAACGAGCGATGAAATTCAAACAAAACATTTGGACCTGACCATGTTAATATTGGACAACGTACAACAATCTGGGTTCTGGTTTACATTAAAATGGGAGAGAATACGAAAAAGCAAAAGATTTTTATGAACGAGCGATAGAAATTCAAACGAAAACATTTGGACCTGACCATGTTAATATTATGACAACGTACAACAATCTGGGTTCAGTTTATAAATGATATGGAGAGTACGAAAAGCAAAAGATTTTATGAACGAGCGATAGAAATTCAAACAAAAGCATTTGGACCTGACCATGTTAATATTGCGACAACGTACAACAATCTGGGTTCGGTTTACAAGATATGGGAGAGTACGAAAAAGCAAAAGATTTTATGAACGAGCGATAGAAATTCAAACGAAACATTTGGACCTGACCATGTTAATATTGCGACAACGTACAACAATCTGGGTTCGGTTTACAAAATATGGGAGAGTACGAAAAGCAAAAGATTTTTATGAACGAGCGATAGAAATTCAAACAAAACATTTGGACCTGACCATGTTAATATTGCGACAACGTACAACAATCTGGGTTGGTTTACGATGATATGGGAGAGTACGAAAAGCAAAAGATTTTTATGAACGAGCGATAGAAATTGACACGAAAGCATTTGGACCTGACCATGTTAATATTGCGCCAATGTGCAACAATCTGGGTTTCGTTTACAAAAATATGGGAGAGTACGAAAAAGCAAAAGATTTTTATGAACGAGTGATAGAAATTCAAACGAAAGCATTTGGACCTGACCATGTTAATATTGCGACAACGTACGACAATCTGGGTTCGGTTTACCAAGCTATGGGAGAGTACGAAAAAGCAAAAGATTTTTATGAACGAGCGATAGAAATTCAAACGAAAGCATTTGGACCTGACCATGTTAATTTTGCTGCAACGTACAACAATCTGGGTACGATTTACAAATATATGGGAGAGAACGAAAAAGCAAAAGATTTTTGTGAACGAGCGATAGAAATTCAAACAAAAACATTTGGACCTGACCATGTTAATATTTCGCCAATGTACAACAATCTGGGTTCGGTTTACAATGATATAGGAGAGTACGAAAAAGCAAAAGATTTTTATGAACGAGCGATAGAAATTGACACGAAAGCATTTGGACCTGACCATGTTAATATTGCAATAAGGTACAACAATCTGGGTTCGGTTTACAGTAAAATGGGAGAGTACGAAAAAGCAAAAGATTTTTGTGAACGAGCGATAGAAATTCAAACAAAAACATTTGGACCTGACCATGTTAATATTTCGCCAATGTACAACAGTCTGGGTTCGGTTTACGATGATATAGGAGAGTACAAAAAAGCAAAAGATTTTTATGAACGAGCGATGAAAATTCAAAAGAAAGCATTTGGACCTGACCATGTTAATATTGCGCCAACGTACATCAATCTGGGTTCGGTTTACATTAATATGGAAGAGTACGAAAAAGCAAAAGATTTTTGTGAACGAGCGATAGAAATTCAAACAAAAACATTTGGACCTGACCATGTTAATATTGCGACAACGTACAACAATCTGGGTTCGGTTTACTATAATATGGGAGAGTACGAAAAAGCAAAAGATTTTTATGAACGAGCGATAGAAATTAAAACGAAAACATTTGGACCTGACCATGTTAATATTGCGACAACGTACAAAAATCTGGGTTTGGTTTACGATAATATGGGAGAGTACGAAAAAGCAAAAGATTTTTATGAACGAGTGATAGAAATTGAAACAAAAACATTTGGACCTGAACATGTTAATATTGCGTCAACGTACAACAATCTGGGTTCGGTTTACTTCAAAATGCGAGAGTACGAAAAAGCAAAAGATTTTTATGAACGAGCGATGAAAATTCAAACAAAAGCATTTGGACCTGACCATGTTAATATTGCGGAAACGTACAGCTATCTGTGTTTGATTTACTTCAAAATGGCAGAGTACGAAAAAGCAAAACAATTTTATGAACGAGCGAAGGAAATCGACCAATCAAGCTGTAATTTACAGTGATCGGAAAAACGCGGAAAACGAACAAAATAAAGTTTATAACGAGCGACAGAACTTGAAAGTGAAATATTTGACCTCTATATTTATCTTTTATTTGCCAACAACTAAAAGTCTTCCGTATTTGAGAAACGTTTCACGAGATAAAGGAAGAAAAAAGGACAAAATACAGTTTTATTTTCAGTTTAGAGCGATAGAAATTCAAACAAAAGCATTTGGACCTTAAAATGTACTGCAATAATATACAACAATCTTCATTTGGTTATAAACAAACTATAGATATTGAAACTGAAGCATTTGCACTTCTATTTATCTTTTATTTTCTAGAAGATAAAATACTCGTCTTTGAGAAAACGTACAAGGAGATAGAAGAAGAGGAAATGAATTTGTAGCTCATTTTTAATGAAGAAGAAAATCAATTTCTCTTTTCATTTTAGGTATGTCTTCTTTATACTAAAGATGATTAGAAACAGTTGTATTGTAGATTTCTTTTAACAAAGGTTCAAATAACAACAGTTGTATATTTATAAAAGGTATAAATATATTATTGACAATATTCAAACATTTGTATTATCAAGTTTTCAACTCTCATTTATTTACTGGAACAGTTTTTATTAAGAAACTTGTATGGAACTATCCAAGTATATTTATGAGTTTAGTTTGCAATATCTAGCTATTCAGAAGTTGTGAAGTTCCTTAAAATGAATGTTGTTGGGTCATTTTCTTGTACAATGAGAGTAAATACTGATCTTACAGCAACCATGATCATGTAACATCCCTTTTTGAAATGCTAAAAAGGCCACAAGATTTGCTTTGCTATATAAGTATGAATACAGTCTTTTCTATATTTATTTCTATTCATTCATACAATTTACAAAATATACTTTCTATTTATGAGAATTGTAGTTGTTTGAAATGGACATGCAGTTATTGTTATTTGATTTAATCATACTTGATTTGTCTTAATCTGTTGAAAAAAAAGGATTTCAAAGGCACTTAATCTGGCAGTACATGAATATATGAACTTGTGTACAAACTATAAAAAGTTTATATTAGGAATATATTTCTAGGGCAACACCCTCCTTTAAAGTATGTATCCATGTTCAGGAGTGAATGACATGACCAGACATTTTTGGCTAATGTCTTTATAACTGATAAGAACAGTAAATGAGTCATTTCTACTGGTGTCTTTACTACTGATATGGACAGTAATGAGTCATTTTCATTGCTATGACATTCATGTCTTGCTTTTGCAATAGTTTATACTTTACATTTCTTTGAAACTGATTTTCCCAGCTACATAAATGATTTCGTAGTCTTGATGTGAGTATGGACCGCCACAACAACATTTTCGCGTCGATTCAGATTGGATGGTAGCCAACATGTCGTTATTTTTGTCCTTTGACTCGATATCCCGTGCTTGATAAGTGCTTTGCTCATCTCTACGGCCGTCCAGCAAAATATCCCTGAGTTTATACTCGGGATCTCTTGGTGCTTTCTTTCGTATTCACGAAGATCCCGCCATGATTATCTGTTGTTCAACCTCAAAGTCAACATCATCAAAAGCACATGTTTGAGCTAATCGTATTGAGGAATCTCGTATGAAATTGGTCTAACGTTTCTGATTGTTCTTGTTTGGCTTCGCGAAATATGTACACTTCATATCGCCGATTTATTTGAGGCTCAAAATATTCCGTTAATTCGGTTTTAGCAAGTTCATATTCGCTGTCGTCGCCTGTATCGTTGAGCTGTCGAAATATTTCACGAATGCGTGAACCATCTTGACAGAGAAGTAATGCTCCTTGTTGCTTTTTATCTTTAATTTCACTCGAGATAATAAACATTTCAAAATCGGCAAGCCATGTGCTCCATCGAGTTGCCAAGCTTACACCAAGTATTTATTTAACAAAAACCTTTTTTAAACATCTTTATTATCCAGCTTACGTACGTTGGGTGGCTATAGACCCATTGCATGAGTAGTATACAGAGCGTCGTTTCTGGCTCACCTCAACTTGAGAAAACGTCGTTTCTGGCCCACCTCACACCTTGGGACCTATTATACAAAAATCTAAGTGCCCCAACCCTAGTTCGCGTACGTATGCTGGCATAATTACAGCGAATGTCAAAGCCTGGACAACGCCAGGAGCCAAAGACGGCTGGCCCACCCCCCTTGCCTGCGCGACCCGCCGTCGGGGTCTATTATTTATAAGTAGCGTATAGTAGGGTACGTGGTAAGATGAATAATGAATTCAGAAGAGTACGCATAAAAAGACAAGAGCAAAAAGAAAGAAGGGAAAGAGAGAAAAAATTGAATAATATAATAATAAGACAAATAGAAGAACATCTTAAATTACAAACCAGGCTGCTAATACAGAGAGGTACGATACAATTAGAAAAATATTTATATAGTATATAGAATCGAGATGGACACTGTTAGAGAGATTCTGCTACAATATAAACAGGGTGTGATAAGTGGAAGAGCTCAAAACTCATTTCTTGAATCTTTTCAACCACTAGCATCTACATCAAGAAAGCGTACTAATACAGCTCCACCTGAACCTCCTTCGGCACCATGTAAGCGCAGACCTATTAAGCCTAATGACGTAATAGAAATTAGACCGCCTGTTATAACAAATTCCGTAGGTTGGGAAGCTGCGTATTGAAATATGAGCGACCCAGCGTTAATACGCTATAACGTATTTCATTTTCTAAGTGCAATTCCTCCAAAAACTGAAACTCCGACGCCTCCGGCGTCCGGTTCACCCCCTTTGCCAAACGTGAAGTGTTCTAATTCAGTTCTAGATAATGAAGGAAAGCCTTCGGACTCGTCTAGCGCTTCATGTAGCAAATCTTCATCACATAACCGTTGAAGATTCGGGTATTATACTTTCTATAGTGAGTGTAATAATTACTCTAGAAGTTCCCATCTGTTGAACAACTAATGTTGCATCAGTAGGTAAGTCTACATCTATAAAATCGCTATAGCTACATTTAGAGTTAATATCACCAATACGATGTGTTTTTGTTTTACTTAAGACAAGTAATTTGCTAGGAGTTTGAAGTACTCGTAGCGCCCCTGCACTTGTAAAACATTTTCCACTTAATGATATTTGGTAGAATCTAGCGGTTTCGATGGTGATTGTAGAAGAATCTGCTTCACCTTTTTCACACATCGCGACATTGGTCCAATCTGAACCTCTTTCCAGTGACTGAAGTACCAACTTGAGTGTACACATCTACTGGAATTTCTAATCTCTTTTTATGCTTTTCACGTCTTCTATGATGTTTTACACAACGGGCGTGGTGTCTTTTTGCCGGACGTAGCAAAGCTTCGAGAGCCTCACGCGTAGGTTTATCTACGTCTGAATAGTTCCAAGAAGATATGACTATTTTTTCAGCATTAGAATTATATTCTAGTTGGAATTTTTCAAAATTTTTCTCTCTATTTCGTCGAAAGTATACTTCTACTGCTCGGCGAAAGAGATCGTTTGTTGATTCAAATTCATGAACCGAAGTTTCAGCTGCTTTAGACATTTTAATGTTTGTGTGACAAGACACAACTGAAGTGATAGCACTATAAATATAAAGTGAAAATTTATTGTTTTATAATTAAGAATACTCTAAATAATGTACCTGTTATCTTCGCATCCAGTTAATGGGTATTGTACTAACATATGACATCCATTTGTTAGTGTTATCATGTACGAAACTAACATAAGGCCCACAATTTTGTTCAAACACAGTAGATCTAATGTTGAACCACTCGTGTTGAGATTGTTCAAACACAGTAGATCTAATGTTGAACCACTCGTGTTGAGATTGTTCAAACACAGTAGATCTAATGTTGAACCACTCGTGTTGAGATTGTTCAAGCACAGTAGATCTAATGTTGAACCACTCGTGTTAAGATTGTTCAAACACAGTAGATCTAATGTTGAACCACTCGTGTTGAGATTGTTCAAACACAGTAGATCTAATGTTGAACCACTCGTGTTAAGACTGTTCAAACACAGTAGATCTAATGTTGAACCACTCGTGTTAAGATTGTTCAAACACAGTAGATGTAATGTTGAACCACTCGTGTTAAGATTGTTCAAACACAGTAGATGTAATGTTGAACCACTCGTGTTAAGACTGTTCAAACACAGAAGATCTAATGTTGAACCACTCGTGTTGAGATTGTTCAAACACAGTAGATCTAATGTTGAACCACTCGTGTTAAGATTGTTCAAACACAGTAGATGTAATGTTGAACCACTCGTGTTAAGATTGTTCAAACACAGTAGATCTAATGTTGAACCACTCGTGTTAAGATTGTTCAAACACAGTAGATCTAATGTTGAACCACTCGTGTTAAGATTGTTCAAACACAGTAGATCTAATGTTGAACCACTCGTGTTAAGATTGTTCAAACACAGTAGATCTAATGTTGAACCACTCGTGTTAAGATTGTTCAAACACAGTAGATCTAATGTTGAACCACTCGTGTTAAGATTGTTCAAACACAGTAGATCTAATGTTGAACCACTCGTGTTGAGATTGTTCAAACACAGTAGATCTAATGTTGAACCACTCGTGTTAAGATTGTTCAAACAAAGTAGATCTAATGTTGAACCACTCGTGTTAAGATTGTTCAAACACAGTAGATCTAATGTTGAACCACTCGTGTTAAGATTGTTCAAACACAGTAGATCTAATGTTGAACCACTCGTGTTAAGATTGTTCAAACACAGTAGATCTAATGTTGAACCACTCGTGTTAAGATTGTTCAAACACAGTAGATCTAATGTTGAACCACTCGTGTTAAGATTGTTCAAACACAGTAGATCTAATGTTGAACCACTCGTGTTAAGATTGTTCAAACACAGTAGATCTAATGTTGAACCACTCGTGTTAAGATTGTTCAAACACAGTAGATCTAATGTTGAACCACTCGTGTTAAGATTGTTCAAACACAGTAGATCTAATGTTGAACCACTCGTGTTAAGATTGTTCAAACACAGTAGATCTAATGTTGAACCACTCGTGTTAAGATTGTTCAAACACAGTAGATCTAATGTTGAACCACTCGTGTTAAGATTGTTCAAACACAGTAGATCTAATGTTGAACCACTCGTGTTGAGATTGTTCAAACACAGTAGATCTAATGTTGAACCACTCGTGTTAAGATTGTTCAAACACAGTAGATCTAATGTTGAACCACTCGTGTTGAGATTGTTCAAACACAGTAGATCTAATGTTGAACCACTCGTGTTGAGATTGTTCAAACACAGTAGATCTAATGTTGAACCACTCGTGTTAAGACTGTTCAAACACAGAAGATCTAATGTTGAACCACTCGTGTTAAGATTGTTCAAACACAGTAGATCTAATGTTGAACCACTCGTGTTAAGATTGTTCAAACACAGTAGATGTAATGTTGAACCACTCGTGTTAAGATTGTTCAAACACAGTAGATCTAATGTTGAACCACTCGTGTTAAGATTGTTCAAACACAGTAGATCTAATGTTGAACCACTCGTGTTAAGATTGTTCAAACACAGTAGATCTAATGTTGAACCACTCGTGTTGAGATTGTTCAAACACAGTAGATCTAATGTTGAACCACTCGTGTTAAGACTGTTCAAACACAGAAGATCTAATGTTGAACCACTCGTGTTAAGATTGTTCAAACACAGTAGATCTAATGTTGAACCACTCGTGTTAAGATTGTTCAAACACAGTAGATCTAATGTTGAACCACTCGTGTTAAGATTGTTCAAACACAGTAGATCTAATGTTGAACCACTCGTGTTAAGATTGTTCAAACACAGTAGATCTAATGTTGAACCACTCGTGTTGAGATTGTTCAAACACAGTAGATCTAATGTTGAACCACTCGTGTTAAGATTGTTCAAACACAGTAGATCTAATGTTGAACCACTCGTGTTAAGATTGTTCAAACACAGTAGATCTAATGTTGAACCACTCGTGTTAAGATTGTTCAAACACAGTAGATCTAATGTTGAACCACTCGTGTTGAGATTGTTCAAACACAGTAGATCTAATGTTGAACCACTCGTGTTAAGATTGTTCAAACACAGTAGATCTAATGTTGAACCACTCGTGTTAAGATTGTTCAAACACAGTAGATCTAATGTTAAACTACTCGTGTTAAGATTGTTCAAACACAGTAGATCTAATGTTGAACCACTCGTGTTAAGATTGTTCAAACACAGTAGATCTAATGTTGAACCACTCGTGTTAAGATTGTTCAAACACAGTAGATCTAATGTTGAACCACTCGTGTTAAGATTGTTCAAACACAGTAGATCTAATGTTGAACCACTCGTGTTAAGATTGTTCAAACACAGTAGATCTAATGTTGAACCACTCGTGTTAAGATTGTTCAAACACAGTAGATCTAATGTTGAACCACTCGTGTTAAGATTGTTCAAACACAGTAGATCTAATGTTAAACTACTCGTGTTGAGATTGTTCAAACACAGTAGATCTAATGTTGAACCACTCGTGTTAAGATTGTTCAAACACAGTAGATCTAATGTTGAACCACTCGTGTTAAGATTGTTCAAACACAGTAGATCTAATGTTGAACCACTCGTGTTAAGATTGTTCAAACACAGTAGATCTAATGTTGAATAACTCGTGTTAAGATTGTTCAAACACAGTAGATCTAATGTTGAACCACTCGTGTTAAGATTGTTCAAACACAGTAGATCTAATGTTGAACCACTCGTGTTAAGACTGTTCAAACACAGTAGATCTAATGTTGAACCACTCGTGTTAAGACCGTTCAAACCAAATGTTTAAATAAGCCATTTTATTATTTTCGAGTGTTTTTCCAGTAGGAAACGTTACTAAAGTTACATTTACTCCACTCATACCTGGGGGGTAAAATCCAGTAGGAGAGTTCAAAACAGGTTGATCTCCTTGGTCTCCTTTAAGCCCATCAGCTCCTGGTTGTCCTTGAGGTCCTTGACGTCCTGAAGGCCCCTGAAGCCCTGTGGCTCCAGTATCTCCTTTAGGCCCCTGTAGACCCCGAAACTTCTCTAGCAACTGTTACACCTCTAATGCCTTGTTGCCTTTGAGGTCCTTGAGGTCTTTGAGGTTCTTGAGGTCCTTGAGGCCCTTGAGCTCTTGTGGCCCAGTGCGCACCATCGCTTCCATTGGTCCCATCAGCTCCGTCATCTCCTCTACGACCCTCATCACCTTTCTCTCCTTTTGGTCCTCTAGGACCCGTATCTCCTTGAGCTCCTGTAGCTCCTGTATCACCTTTTTTTCCCTTTGGTCCGCTAGGACCCGTATCTCCTTCAGCCCCCGCAGCTCCTGTCTCTCCTTCATCTCCCTTAGCTCTTCTTGGGCCTCTAGGCTCTGGTGGTCCTGGTTTTCCAGATGTATAACCATCATCACTTCCACCGATTACTAATGTTGCCATTAGTTTAATGCGACGTTTATATACCTACTATATATAATAGAAAATTTTTTATTAACTACTGAATTTATATTTGACCGCGAGAGAAATCTATGACGAGCCTCCAGCCAGACCCACGATTTTTTTAAAAGCTTGAGCTTCACCTTCACGGCGTGCGTTTTCAGCAGCGGCGGCAACAGCTTCTTCTTTTTCACTCTCTAAGTTCTTATTTGTCTTTTTCATTTCTTTGAGTAGCGAAGCTACATTGGCAGCCTGCTTATTACGCATCAGAGCGTCGAATTCATCTTGAACAACACGTTTACGCTCGTTAAAACGCAGCATTTGATCTAGAACCTGTTCAAACTCTTCATGTGAGACTCGGCTGTCACTGAGAGCACGTGACGTAATATCACCAACAGTCATCAGAATCATCGCAGGAGCTTGAACTATGCGGTCGTAAAATGGACAAAATCGTTTAGACTGTTAGTCTGATGTGATATGTTATTATTTAAAAATAATTTATAAAATTAAAAAAAAATCTTTTTCGACTGTTTATATACGCAAATTGTTTTGCATGTGCACAAAAAATGTCGGACATTAATAACGCAATATTTGTTGAAGCTCTCAGACCCGCCATGGAGCGAGTAATCACTCAGGAATTTCAAGGCGCTGGTATTTATCTTCCTGGGTCAAGAAGTATAGAAGGCGGTACCTTTATTGGAAATCTTATTGGAAAACTCATACCTACGGTCACTAAACTCATACCAAAGTTGTTACCATCTCTAGGCCTAGCAGCTATATCAGGTGCTATCACCGGCAGCACGAAAAAAGCAGTTGCTGGTAGTGGTGTAGTTAGGAAAGGTGGTGCAGCTGCTAAAGGTGGTGGACGTAATAACTACACAGTTCACGGCGTTACACTTTCAACGGCTCAGAAAAATAACCTGGCAAAGGCAGTCAGAGACGGAACCGGAGTGACTATACGACTTACCAAAAAAGCACTTGACGGCCCTGACTTGCTTATGCTTACTAAGACGCAAATTAAGCGCATAATGGGTGCAAAACCCACAGGATCTGGGTTGGATCTAAAATTGTCTAAGAGTCAGATTACAGCCATGGTTTCATTATATAAAGTACTAGCAATTTTTTCTCGCAATAGTCACCATCTTCTGTAATAAAAATAATCACTATGTGTACTTTACCTTGACAAAATACTAATGTCACTTAAGTTAGGTTCCTTCTCTTTGAGCAAATAATAATGTTCATTATCCTTAGCAACAATTTCTTTTCCAGAATCTAAAGAGAAACAAACAAACATCAATTTATTATCCTACTAGAGAGGTTACTAAAAATTGACCTCTTTGTTTTAAGAATTAAAATCAATCTATTCAAAAAAATCCTACCAATTTTAGGCTTTTTTACAATGGGTTGATTTCCTAGATAGCAACTTCTGGTTTGATGTCGTTAAGCAAGGCTAAGCGCAACATTAGTGAAGTTTCCAAGGTATGAAGCCAATCTTTTAAAGTAACTGTGCTTTGCTTCATATTGCATGCACCAGCTCCGAATCATTGGTCCAAATCTGAAAAAATCAAGGACTCATGTTAGCTAGAAGGAAACCAATGATGTAATTTTTACATGCATTTTGAGTTACATACCAAATTTTTATTTATAAACTAAGATACAAACCAGCAAAATCATACCTGTAAATATAAGCTGAGTAATGAACCAAGTAATGCATTTTGGGTACAACTGAAAGCCCAGGATAAAGCTGGGTGAATTTTCACAAAAATTCCTTCAGGTATCCTTCCAGGATAGAAAGTTCACCAGTGTTTGTGATAGGTGAAAAAACAATGTCAACCATTTTAAGGAGCAACAGAAAATGCATCCACTTTTCTTCATCCTGAGGAATGGCACTGCCTAGAGCTAAAGGAAGGAATTTTCCAAGGCATCACATTTGTCTTGCTATAAAAAGAAAAACCAATCATTTAAATCAAGGGTGATGGTATTAATGCTCGTGACAATCACTACACCCTACCTTTTTGCTTTAAACTATTGTTTTCATTCCTTAAAGTTGTCCGGGTGATTGGTGATGGCTTGTTTTTATCATTAAAATATCCATAATCAAAAGAGTTAATTCTTTCATTAAGTTGCTCCACTGTTAAAATTTTTTCTTTAAATATGAAGTCCTTTAGCAATTCTTTACATACATACTGAAGTACTCCTTCTAGTATATCATGCATTGCATCACCTGGCATGCCATCTGCTACATGAAAATACCTAGAGTTGCGAAGAAATGATCTCCTGCAAAGCCCATATGCTTTACTCAGTTCTGGGTTTTCTTCAATCAGTTCACATTGGCGGTCATGACCAGCACGAGTTCGAAGTGTAAAATGTTTTTCTAAAAACTGAAAGACTTACTTTAAAGTGTATGTTCCTGGTATGCTAAAAACCATAATAAAACATTTGATCTATGTTGAAACAGGTTAATAATGTATTATCATAAGCATACATACCTTCTGCTTTATTTGTTCAGTGGTCCCCATGCATTGCTGGCATTTTAAATGTGCACCTGGACCTTCTTTGAAGCCACCCATGAGTTTTGATCCAAGATTGTCTTCAGAAACCAACACAATAGTCCCAGAAAATGACATAGGTTCACCTTTAACAATGAACTGGTGACCACCATCCTCAAAAAAGAAGTGTGACAGTTAATATTAAGCAATTTTTATCAAACTACTTACTCTGCACAATTATCAATAACAAGTAATAAGCTAAAAAACAATAAATAGGATCACTTACTTGTTCAAGGTATTCAAGGTCATTCATGAAAGGCTCCAAGAGAATGTCAATGCCACATTTTTTAATAATTGGAGCTGTTGCCATAAGGAGTAGGTGAATGTTATCACCCTGGGATCGATATCGAAGATCAATATTTCCAATTGTGTAGTAAACAACTCCTGTCATACAGAAATAATGGCATATGATGTAATAAGAGCTTCTTATAGCCTTTCATTGCTCATACACTTTTTTACATTTGAGTGACTGATTTAGTCACTATGATGTCATTAAACTATTACCTAACTTATGCTTTCCAGTTTTACTACCAAAGGCATTTGCAATTTCCAACTCATCATACTAAAGCATGATTTGTAAAGCAGTTGAGTCCTTGGAAAACAGAGGATGGGTTTTGAAATACTGGCCATCGCAAACATCCTCAATCACATCATCATGTTTATGTTGCCAAAGATGACCATGGTTTAGCTGAAATTAAAATCGAAGAATGAATATATTAAATTTATTAATAAATTAAATTTATTATTAACCAGCAATGGAAATGTCTGGTGGTAGGATGGGTGCCTTCCTACCATCAGATATTTCAAATTAAAATCAGGCTATTTTCATATTTTCATGAAATAATTGGAATATATTTCTGGAAATGTGCTCTAATAAACGCATGTCATCATTGTTTTGCTTTCATGGAAACTAACACAGTAAAACACACATAAAGTTCCTTTTATGGTTATACATAGAACATGTATTAATATTTTGCAACCCTGTTATTGATATGGGTACTTGCAAAGATGTAGTTGTCATAGTTTGATAAACTTGCCAACATAAAAAAAAAACACAACCATGCTATTAACAATCTGACCTGTTCAAGTACTCCTTTTACATTGAGCATTTTTTCCAAGGATTTAAGCAGTGGTATGTACATGATTTCGTCATCTTTAATAACCTCTTTGTACACAGTTCTTCAAAGTCTTTTTACAACTCTGTGTCCAAGTTTAATTTGTCTGGTTTGCTACAATTAAAATAATGATTATGCATAACAAGCACTGAAGAGCAGCAGGCTCAAATATGTTAAAAATCTCAAAAAACTTTATCCAAAAACTCTAAACATTCTAAAAAAAGTCAAAAAACATAGAAATAAAACTTACAACTAAGCCAAAATGCTCCTCAAAATAAGCATTCTGTTTATACTTTGTGGAAATATGTTTGAATGGATTTGAGATAGCATGTCCTTCATCAAATAATTCATCAAGACCTGGCAAATCATTATAATTTAATTCAGCTTTCTCTAAGCAATTTTGCAAACCGTGTTTAATTGCTTTGACTGTTCCTTGGACAAGTTCAGTGGAATCTTCTACAATGTTATCCACACATTTTTGTGTGAGCAGATTGATTTCTTTTGTTTTTAGAAGAAATTGAGCCTTTTTGTGTTCCATTGCTTGAACAGAGTCATCAAGTTCATTTTCCCTGCGGAATTCATCAATTAAGAGTTCAAGGCCATCCTCATCAGGACAAAAATTGTTGTGAGTGCTACTCGCTGATTCAACGCAACATAGATGACGTGTTTAAGTCAACATTGGCGTGCTTTCTTCTAAGATGACTTTTGTAAGAGTTTACCTAAACAACAAATCCGTGAACGCACTGAATAAGTAAATATTTTTAACAAATAACAAACAAATCAGTGTCGTATCAAGAATCAAAAGCTTACCTTAGCGAAGGTTGAATTACATTCCGGCACTTCGCAGAGAATATGCAATCTGGCATCGTGTTCATGAACAGCGACCAAATGATGCAACATTCCAGCGACAGACGTTGAAAAAAACGTTGCACATACCTGACAACACAATCGTGGCATAATTAATTGAATTTTTACGAATATTCTTGCGTCACTAGTCAAGTGACAACTCCGTTACCGTTTGTTAGAGCAATGAATGAGTAAAATCAGGTCAATATTAAGTGTCATTAAGTGCATTTCTTTGTCCAATTAGTTGCGAACTTGCGGCGATTGGTCGATTTGGTCACATGACATCCCATTACGCAAAGCGGCACGTGCCTGACTTCCTGTTGCCGATGTATGTAGTCGCGTGGCGTGTTTCTAAACTTCTTGTGCTTTGTTGAAGTGCATTTAAGCGTTTAAACTCTTGTATTGTGGGCAAAAGCATCAGCACGCAGCAAACTACAGAAGTACACCCGTCAGAAGAAGTCTCAGTGGTGGGAGACTAAAGCAGAGGAACTGCAGCACGCCGCAGCAGAAAACGACATGAAGTCCTTCTATGGAGGTCTTAGAGAAGTATACGGCCCACAAAAGAGAGGTACTGCCCAACTGCTCGCTCTTGATGGAGAGACTGTGTTGACAGACAACAAGAAGATGCTGGAAAGATTAGCTCAGCACTTCGACCAGTTGTTAAATCTGCCTGGAAACCTGGATAGTGCTGCTCTTGCGAGCATCACCCAACGTCCAACAGTCCACGTACTGGATGAGCCCCCAAAGATGGATGAACTTCTGAAGGCGATCGCAGCAACTAAGGAAAGCAAAGCTCCTGGATGTTGTGGGATACCTGCAGAAGTATGGAAGTATGGTGGTACAACACTCAAAGAGAGGCTGCTAGATGTGATCGGAGATATCTGGATAGGAGAGAAGATTCCACAAGATTGAAGGACGCGAATATAGTCCCTATATTCAAGAAAGGCAGTCGTAAAGAGTGCGGCAACTATCGCGGCATTTCTCTACTCTCAATCGCTGGGAAGGTGATGGCTCGAATACTCCTCAATCGTCTGAACGAAATGATAAGTCCCAGAGTAATTCCTGAGACCCAGAGTGGATTTGGAGTGGGCGGAGTACCATGGATATGATATTCAGCCTACGACAGGTTCAGGAGAAATGCACTGAACAGAACATGCCCCTCTATGCAGTTTTCATAGACTTTACTAAGGCCTTTGACACTGTCCCTAGAGGCGGCTTGTGGGCAGTACTGAAAAAGTTTGGCTGTACTGATAAGATTATCAATCTCGTGAAAGCGTTTCACGAAGGAATGCAAGCTAAAGTCACTCGTGGGAGCGACTGCTCTGAGGGATTCGCTGTCTCAACAGGTGTAAAGCAAGGGTGTGTGCTGGCTCCGACACTGTTCTCATTCTACCTGGCTGCCATGCTGGAGGTTGCCTTCGTGGACACAAGGGAAGGTATCTACATCCAGACTAGACATGATGGGAACCTATTCAACGCCTCACACTTCAAAGCAAAGACACGCACAACACGTCAGCTTGTCAGAGATATGCTTTTTGCAGACGACTGTGCTCTGGTTGCTCACAGTGCAGCAGAGATGCAGGCATTGGTGGACAAATTTGCAAAAGCTGCCGCTATGTTTAGCCTCAAGATAAACATCAAAAAGACTGAGTGCCTCTACCAGCCAGTAAAGCTTCTACTCCCTCCCCCAAAACCCTGTGCAATCACCATAGACGGACAGCCTCTTGTCCAGACCACAGACTTCAACTACCTGGGTAGTACAATCTCCAGCAATGCTAAGATTGAAAAGGAGCTGAGGAACAGAATGGGAAGGGCGAGTGCAGCGTTCAGTCAACTAAACGATCGGCTATGGCAAAATAAGCATGTCTCGACCAGAGTTAAAGCCAAGGTCTATCAGGCGGTGGTGCTGACAACACCCTTTATGGAGCAGAGGCATGGACAATCTACAGGCTTCAAGTGAAGAAACTGAGTGCGTATATGATGAGACAACTGCGGGACATTCTGAAGATATCATGGCGGGACAAGATCGCAAATGCTAAGATTCTCCGTCTGACTGACCTGCCACACATGGCTGACATGCTGATTCAAAAGAATTTAAGATGGATTGGTCATGTCCATCGTATGGAGAGATCTCGTTTACCACGCCAGCTATTGTACAGCCAACTAGTAGAAGGGAAACGAAACCAAGGCCGACCTCGACTCAGACTCAAAGATGTCATGAAACGAAATCTAAAGAGGAAAGACATCAACGTGACAACCTGGAAGCAACTGGCTGATAACAGACCGGCCTGGAGAGCTTCAATCCAACCATAGAACAGTCCTCGTCGCTTACGACTGACTGCATGATGATGATGATGAATTCGAATGTTTTAGAGAGTGATAATAGTAATATATTCATTCTATGCTATGTTGATTATTTTAGAGGTCAAGAACCGGTGTATAATGGCATGTTTGCCTTATGTGTTAGATGACCAATGCACCCATCGAGATATGAACAAAAAGCTATTTTGGGACATTGTTGATGTAAGAGTTGATATTGTCACAAATAATATTTTCTGCATAAATGTGTGAAAAAAGTGATAAATAATTTTATCTCTGTTGAAGGGTAAAAGCTTGGGGGAAGTTCAAGAGATCGTTAACAAAAGTTTGTCTCCTGGACTCCTATCAACAGGAACATTAAAAAACATTCATTCAATAATGTTGGTGGCTGAGGGGATGATTATAGCAAAGCTGAAAACGGAAAATATTGTCAACGCAGTTATTATTTTACTTAGTTCTTTTTATACTTTTAATGCTGAGTATCCTAAAGGTGTTAATGGATATTGCAAAAATGTATTTATTCTTTTAGAACATTTGCTTTTAAATTCCAAATGCAATTGTAAGGCTCAGTTGCCAACTTTTGTCAATCATTTTATTTCTTCTATGAAGTAGAAAACTTTTGTAGTGTTAATTAATGGCATGTAGTAGAGATTTTAAGTATTCTGTGTTTGCAAAAAATGTGCTATTTATAATTGTGTGATTGATTTTCTTTAGCTTAGTTAAAAAGATCCTCTATATTGCTCAAATGGTCATTGATATGCACCTGAAAAAATGCTTATTTAATGGTAAAAACAACCAAATAAAATTGGTCAAATAAATTGGTAAATTTAACCATTTTTGATTTTGGTATTTTTGACCAATTTAGGAATTGGTTGTTTTGACCTATAAAAATTGTTCTTCTCAGCTGCATTCAAATGACCAATATTTTTTGGTCATTTTGACCAATCAATTTTTACTGTGTAGAACATTGGATTCCAGGGTTAGAAAATTACTTGATCATAAAACTAAATGGCATTTTCAAATCCTGAAAAAGTTTGACGTAAAATAATATGAAATATATAGTTTTATTTTGACTATGTTGATTAAATCTACTTCATTCAGTAGCTAAATAATTGCAGGCTACCAACATGTATGAATTGCGTGCCAATTTTTTTAAATGTATGCCATTGTATTTAATAAACGCAGTGTTCTGGGAGATGTACCCAAAAGCCAAGAAATGAAAAGAAACGTGAATATTCATGATAACTACGATAAATAATGTTATGACAAATGTCTTCACTTGGCCCCAAATGTGGACACTGTTTTTTTTTCCAAACCAAAACGAAATGGGAGGGAAAACCGGCGGATCCGGTAAAACCCTCCAATAAAGAAAAATAAAAATTTAGAAGAATTGCCTCAAATTTTGTGGTTTTATGATGTTTTATATTTTGTTGTTTTCAATGATCCCGATGATCTACTTTAACATGCAGCGTAGTCAGATCGTGCGTCTTATACAGTCGTAAAAAATTTAAATTTACGGAGCAAAATGTGGGCTGACTACCCTATTGACACAGCAAATATTTTTGTTCGTACAAAAGAAACGCAAACTTTTGTAGAGCACAAAAATTGAAATAGTGCAGAGTGTTAACAAAATTGTAATCAATAGACGAAAACGAAAACTAATAGCAGCCATATATAAATCATGTATAAAAATTATTCAATACGTAGGAACCTGACCATTCACCTGCCCACAACAATTAAAAATGAAATGACTAAAGAGACGTTATGACTTGCATAAAAACAATTTTTGATGTCTGCTAGACTTTATTCCTGTGAAATTTTCTATGTTGCCTCATTAATTAATAGCTGGCTTTCACTCGTGTGTTTCATCAGAAAATTTAACAATTGTGAACATTAAGTTATACGGAAATTTTTAACGGTCGAATTTGAAAATGCGTTATACTGATAGACATTATGGATAAATAAATTAGCAAGTGTGCATCTTATAATAACGACGCTTCTTTCTTGGTGTTTCTGCCCGACTTCGTCGTTCATTCATTGTCCAGTTAGAAGGCCTACAGACATAGCTACTCTATAAAAAACACGTTATAAATGTCAGCATAATGAATGATCAAAAAACAGAAAACAATTCCAGTGAAAAGAACAAAACTTTAATACCTGATTTCCAAGGGTTGTCCTGGTCAGTGTGATCTAGGCGACTTGGTCAGTCTCTTCTTTTTTTTCACCGCGTACTTTTTACGTTGTATCGTTGAAATTATTTGTAAAATTTTTATCTTAGTAATTCAATTTAGCCCTACTTGCATCATTGCAATTTTCTTAATCAACGTTAAATAAAATTACTAAAAAGTAGCGAGTGAAAGCCAGCTATTTTCTCATAGCAAGTGACATCTTTTATGGACTTTTTTTAACTTGGGTATTTTTCATGGTTAAGTTTCGAATTATAAAGACAGACCATCAGGATCTTTTTTAACTATCTCATGCAGTTACTCATACAAGTTAATTTTAACACTTATATCTACTCAACTTACAAACCACAAGATATAGATTGTGTTTTTCCACTCGCTTGTTTTCCATCTTCGTAGAATGTAGTCCATTTTTATAGTGCAATCACTTCAATGTAAATGTTCATACGTACATATGCCGTTATGCGATGTCCATTCAACATGTCGATACCATTCCATACACGAAGTAAAGAGCTTCATCAACCCAAAAAGAAGCTACTGATATGATGAATCGCCATTTCGATTGATTACAATTCATAATGCACTGTTATGGTAACTTCAAGCGAAGGAAAAGGGACTGCCCTTCAATACCCCAGTTTTATCATTACTCAAAGAATGCTTAGTGCAGAGTTGATCTTCTGTGAGTATCACTTGACCACCTTTAGGTGGGTTCATATAACAATGGGGCCCATCATCATTATATGAACAAACGACTGACATCAACAAAGAATCCAAACTACAAATGAGCAATCTTGGCCATGAATCACCATGACACATGAGTAATGACAAACTAGTAAGAGTAATTGAAGTGAATGACACAGGTGGTAAAGGGACTTTCACAACTCCATTCTTGTGGGATCTACAATATAAGAAAATATGAAACACATGTATGAGATTTCATGATGAATAACTCTGCATATGACGTTTGTTTGCGTTTTAAATTCTTAATCAGATATATTGAGAATGAACAAATTGTTATATGTTTTCTGTTTGACTATTTAAACGGTAGAACATTCACCTTTAATGCGCGAATAGCTTTAGTGAGTTGAGTTTGAACGATGTAACAAGTTTCACACGATCAAAGGCTTATAATCGTGATGAAAGCATTTTACAGTGAAAGCTTTCAAATTACGAGGCCTACACTTAGACCAGTTTATTATTCCATGTAACTAATACTTCTGTATTCGTCAGTAAAAAGACAGAATTTACCTTTGTTCTTACAACGTTAAAGCGAGTAATTTTCTGTTGAAGTAAAACACACGAATTTAAACATGTTAACGTTTCTTTAATTGACGTCATAACTAAAATTATTATTAGATTTCCTTAGGATCATTTCACAAAGACAGCAAGTAATCCTTTAGTGCGTTTTTAAGGCCTGTTTAAAACATTGCATTTTACATGCGCCAATGAATTAAAAACAAAAGATGAGATAAAATTCCTTATTATCTTTTGTCTTAAATACATGTAAAATGCAATGTTTGAAACACGCCTTAAAACGCATTAAAGGATTACTTGTTGTCTTTGTGAAAGGTGACATGCTCCTAAGGAGCCAATCACAATAATAATTTTAGTTATGACGTCAATTTAAAATTTTTGTGTTTTACTTCAATAGACAATTCAGAGTCAATGACTACCGCTAAGGTTGTCGAAACGTCAGTAAACAAAAACAAAAACAGTCCTTCTCAGGACTATACCAACCTGGACGATCTGCATTTACAAACATGTAACGATACTCCCGGGTTCAAACCATTTACTTTAAAATAATTGTATTGTTTACATGAAACTATTTGGTATGAAAAGCCAATCACTATCGTTGCATTTGCTGCTGGATTTCTTCTGCTGGTGATGATGACAGATGGTGTCAGAATTTTTTGTTTTTTAAGAAAAAACGATTATAATGAAGAGATGAATGATGGATATTCTACACCATATTGGGATAATCATGGATCAACAAACTTATTCAATATGCCAGATGTGTATGAGAATGCATCATATACATCAGTAGATGAGTATAATTTTAATCAATTTTCACCGCGACATTCTCGAGCACAAATTGTCATCTTACTTGATGAGAATAATCATGGACCACAAAATGGATTTCAATCATTTTATACTACACCGTTGCATGAGTCAAAAGCACAACTTTAAATTTGTATTTTCATGAATATTTATGTGGAGACAATTATCTTTTAAAGTAATACACCACAATAAAATGATTCTGATATAAATCTTTAGTAAAAATATTGCATGGACTAGATTAAACAGCGCTGACATTGGCACAATCATAGAATACACTGCTACAAAGACTGGCAACAATAATCAGGCCAGGTTATGATTAAGAAAAAGGTTAGGGTCAGTTTAGTACGTGGAAAGGTATTCTATAAAACTTCCTGTTACTGTTAGAATAACTAGATTATGTATTGCAACAAAAACGTTTTAGTGAACAATCAATCTACTAGAATCAAGGTATGTTTATACAATCCTTGTCTTTCCTCTCAAACTTTTTATTTGTTAAATTTTAAAGGAGAAAATCTTCTGAATCCACTATACTTTGTTTGTTCTACTTCAACACAACTTTCACCTTGTTGGTAACTTTCTTCATCTTCTTGTCTCATTCCATTCACGATTTCGCCATTTTTCTACAGCCTCGACATCGAAACATCTTTCTACCAAATTCTCACCACAGCATATACTGAACGCAAATATTCGAAGAACTAAATAGCCAAAAACACTTGCACTAATAACACCAAATGTAATCCTAAAACGCTATTTATAAGATCTTTTCAAGCTCTTGACAAGATTTTACTCCTGCAAGATCATGCAAGATTTTAAGGAAGATCTTGTCAAGATCGTACAACATTATTTTAAGCTTTTGCCATGATTTTACTCATGGATGATCTTGCAAGATTTTTAAAATCCAGCGAATATAAATGACGCACTTTTGACCCTCTTATAAGAGTAAGTGTTAAGCACGTGCTCACAAAGCTTACGTCATTGTTTTATCATCATTACATGTTTTGATTGTTTTCATCTCACAATCAAACATTTTTTAAGATAATTATAAATTTCAGCTTCCACAATTTGTTAAAAAGTTTTGTGAAGAATATGAAACTTATCGTCAGACCTATACTGTCATGAATGTTAACTTCCACATGAACAAAACTAAAATATACAACTGTGTTGGTATTTTTTGGCCGACACTGACAGCTCGTGTAGTTTTGTTGTTACTCTTGTCTTAATATCATTTTACCGATGATTTTGTCTCGAATACAATCCATCTTTCCGACCGTAAACACACGAGTAAAAAAAAAAGAGTCGAAAATATATGATTAAAAATTTACTCAGCGCATCTACAAGCACCAAATTCAGAGCTCGCTCTGTCACAAATTTAATGGAGAATTAATCTGAGCATGCGTACTCTCCAAGTTCATCGTCATGGCAACGAACAACTGGATGTACTATTAAGGTGCATTTACACGATGCGATTTTTTTGAGCAACTTGCGACTAAATAAATGAAAAAATTTCAACAATCGCATGTTACTTGAAGGTGATACAGGACACCAATGATTAAGCAACTTGCGATAAAATGCAAAAATCTCATGTTGCTTAAAAAAATTGCATCGTGTAAAAGCACCTTTAACGATTATCGAGTAATCTCACTCTGTCACAAATTTTAAATAATCATCAGCGCATGCGCAGTTTGCTTGGGCATGCGCAGTCGACTTAACCAGCTGCCCATGTTCATGGTCATAGCAACAACCCAACAACCAACTACATCTACTAGCACCGATTTTGAAGTAAATAGCATGCTTAGTAAGAATTTATTTAAGAAATCATCTACGCATGCGCTCGGGCTTTGCGCAGAACAACATTTCACTGCGCGGTAAAAAATTTCATGACACAACTTAATATACGAACATTAAAAAAATTCAAACCTTTTTTATTGTTCAAGGAGATCGATCCCATCTTCATATAGTACCATCATCGCAAACACAAAGTAAAACACTGTAAAGAAATATGTAAACAGGATTAATAAATATTTCATGCTTAATTCACTTAACTTCTCCCAGTAATTTCGCAAAGTTTGTTCAAAAGTTAAATATTCGCTGTGCAAATTATTTACCATCCAGTCATAATGGACTTTGCTCTAAACTTGACAATTTACAAGATGTAAATACTGTGAAATCAACTCTAAAATCTCGCAAAAAACTTTTTCTCAATGACCAATGAACGAAAACGGTCACTTTCAATTTCGCGTTGGAAATGGGCTCTTGGTAGATAAATGAAAAATGTGCCACAGGAAAACAAATAGTAAAATATCTTCGAAAAGTGAAAGTTTTAATGAGAAAAACATGTTATTTTATCTTTATGAAAATGTTATCTATGTTCTTTTCACATGCTTTCCTTGACTTTGAAAAATGTTCAAAAAACAATAATTTTACATGGGTAAACAAAGAAATTGTTCCCGTGAGATGAAACGCAACATGTAAAATTTACCTTTCATCTTTACTAAATGATGTTTGTCGAACGGCTGCTGTACATTTAGGATGAGAGAGAACTTTCTGCCTGCGCGGGAATCAAACAAATAAAATTGCACTAAGATGATGTATGTTGTTACCATTGAACATGGAACGCTACTAAAGCAAATAATTAAAGCCAAATCTTACATCCAGACACGCGAGATTACACGCAGACACGCGTGTTTAGTGTTTCGAGATTCTCTTGCGGAGTGAAATTGATTGACTACACATGTCCCCCGAAGACCTCGTCATCACCAAGACTATCCACTTGAGGTATACGTAAAGGTGGTTTCCAGTCCATTTCCTCTTCATCCTCCGAACTGCAAGTGAAGAAGACAGCTACTCAAAACTTTAGAGAAGATTGATTGTTTTTCATTTAAGATGTTTACAGTGTTTGTTCAGGATTATGAAAAGCAAGGAGACCTTTGGGAGAACTCGATCAGTGATGACAAGAGTCAAAGGCTTGCACCTGCTACAAAGCTTTCACAAACGTCTCCGAGGTTTGCATAAGCCTGTGTAAACACGAAAAACATCTTTTACTTCTTTTATAAAACAACGATAATACAAAACAGACAAATTAAAAACAAATGTTTTAATTTTTCCTGTAACATATATTCCTGATTCATTTGGAAATTCTCTTTGATTGATTTTAATTGATTAAGCTCAGATAGGTTCGCTCATGCCAAGTAAATATTTTATTGTATGATTATAACTTGAAATAAGTTGCCACAACTTATCAAAACCTTGGTTTGTTGTTGTTTCACACTGCGGTTGCTTGCCTTGTGACAAAATACTTTGAGAAAATTCTTTAAAGTCTTCGGGTGAAAGATATTTTTCCATTGTCTCCAACTCACTTTAACTGCAAGTTTATTTGAAATTTATAAAAATATAAAGTTAAATCATTAAACATGACAAGATCAAGTCTTACATCACTTCTTTCGTTTATTGACAATTTCTTTGACTCTTTGTTTAAATTCTTTCTCAAGATTCAGTACAGGTGTTTCAATACCAGTGTGCGAATTAACGGTGTGCAATGTGCAATTTACACATCGTTTTAGCTAAAATGAAAACAAAAGCACATCACTTTTTCAAACGATATGCAAAAAATTTTTTTATTGATTACTACCACATAAATTGAAAAAAATTTTTTCAAGCTTAATCTTTACAGATCTTTACTTTATAAACGAGTGCGCTGCACGACATTAAAATCCATGTTGACACAATGTCATCAAATTCAAAGACGTTGTCACTGAGATTGGTAAGTCTGTCAACAGTCAACATAAATGGTGTTTATATGCTTATGACAATAGGTGTGTAATACATTATTAATGTCAATTTTTGCATTTGCGTTGTTTTGTAAACCGTTACGTACTGTTTTTGGCATCATAGCTATTTTCAGTATTTTCAGTAAAATCAGGAAACATTTTGATTTTGATTCTTAAAAGAAGACAAAAAAACTTAAAGAAGCAAAATTTGAAAAATAAACCAAAGGGAATTTTGATTTTAAATAAGCCTAACGTGAGAAAAAGAAACGAAATTTGCCTCAAATTATTAAGCCAAACTGGCAACCTTGAACAAATATGATGTTTTTTATCGTAAGTAAACATCAAGGACGTTACTGTTAATAATCAGAAAGTAAAAGTATATTCGGTTGTTCTCTTTTCACTTTTGCACAAGAGGAGAGAATAACATGCAAAAAATTTCTCGCATACATTTGTAACTGGATCAGCGATTGTAACGAAAAACACTGTCGTAAATCATATGAATATGTTCACGTTTAAAAATATTAATTTAGCAATTAGCGCTATATAATAATTAACGTAATATCGATTTCATTATGCCTCTAAAGAAACACTTTTGTCAAAAAAAATTGCACATCGTTTTTCTCAACTAATTCGCACACTGAATACGATCTAACGACAAAAAAAGTTGAAAATTTACCTACGTATTGTTAACTGTTAAGTAAAAGAAAATTATTAAAGGAGCAGTTGTACACATCTTCATGTATGTAACGATGAAAATGTTTAAACTTAAGAAAACATGAAATTTTATGCACTAGAAAACAGCTGCATTGTGGGATATATAAGTCAGAGCCTCATAAATCATAAATACCATGACAATATAAAATACATGAAATGTATTGTGAGCTATACAATGATGTGACATGTATTTTTTGTACCTTACCTTGTGAAACAGGAAGAGCAACTTGTGAAGATAGTCCAATATCTCGTCTTCGTTGTCTTTCATCTTCCCACATAGCAGTTATACCAGGATTATGACCAATACAACCTTCATAAACATAATAAACTCATTAAAGATGTATAAACAGTAAAATGAAGACATAAAGATAAGTAAATTTTACTTTCAACATTTATTTGATTCAAGATGTCTTCAGCAATTACATCAACTTCAAGTTCACAACGACTGACTTTTTCACAGTAGGATCCAGGCATAAATTTCTAAATAATGACAAATAACAAACATTAAAATGATGAATATCAACTGTAAAGATAGTTATCACAAAGAATCATTCCAAAGTTAAACTAATTTTTAAATGTAAATTCTGTAATCTGGATTGAGCATTGACTCTAAATCTTGGGATAAATCATACACATGTGTCAAATTTAGGATTAAGGATTTACACAAATCCTTTGGTTTCAATTAATCTTCAAGTGTAAAATATATGAATCAGACAAACCTAGGAATAGTGTCTTCATTCCAGTGTTGAGATGAAGGAAAATTGAGAAATGAATTTGGAGATGAACCATGAAGTGGAATTGATTTATTATTATATGAAAGATTTTTATCTATAAAATTCAATTTGATGGTAAATAATCATTTGTGGTGTTAGATTTTTATAGAATGCTGAAAAATCAATAATGAAACTTTCCTGTTTTTGAAGAAATTCCTCTAAAATGAACTTTTCTTACATGAAGTAAGTTCATACCATAAAGATTGTAATCAATTAGAAACTAAAATAAACGATATTTCAATATAATTCTTATAATGTAACTTAGTGAAAATCTATAGAAGTTGACCATCCAGGTAGGAAAAGACTAAAGAAGGTCAGTGGCATTAGTGTTGAATGACATTTTAACATTGTTACCAGTAATCATCTCATCTAGATGTGAAAACATCAATCAAGACTACCCCAACAGTCCTTCTCAATACTGTAGTATCCTTTATGATCAACATCAACAAACATGCAGCTATACTTCCACAATGTGTTCAAACCATTCACTTTATTGACAAAATGTTTTGCACATGAAATTTACAGCTATAATCCATAATGGAATGTTTTATTGGGCACCTGAGATCTGATGTATAATTATAGCAAAGTGGGCACCTATACATGCAAATGTTGCATCTCTGATGTCGGTAGAAAAGTCAGCCCATTTTTACTCCTATGTACAATACAAATATTGCTTTAATCAATTACTTTGAAAACAATGAATGAGATTAATTTCTAAAGAAATAAACAACAAACTTTGCAGGCCTTGCCCCTGTCTGGTGCACAGTTTACAAACTAACCACTCCAGTCTGGGTTATAACAATCAAGATGTGTTTTTCCTCATTAATAATAAAACAATAATTACCTGTAGAATATAAGGAACATGAGCTTCGTGTGGTTGAAATGACTTGTTCAATATAGCTCCATTCTGAAGAAGATCAACAAGTCTGAAAAAAATGAAAAATTTTGATGTCGTTTTATGTTAGAACAACATGAAAAATATATCTTACTTGGGAATTATTCTTGGATTGTACAACTCCATCTTAATAAACTCTTCTTTATCCTCATGATAACCATAAAATGGTCTAAAAAATAAAATCATTTTGGGTGAATAATATTGAAATGTTATTGGGTCAAAAATGGAAGATTTTGTATTGTGATGTAAAGAAGAGAGTAAAAAAGATTTAATAATAGTAAGCTTTGTCAACATGAGGAGAAAACAAGGAAAATAACTTACATTTTTTTAACAATTTCAGTTTTATGAACATATTTCATAGAAGATGATGTTCTACCAAACGCAACTTGAACAGCAAAGTCTACACTTGTCGTAAATTGTTTCAGATATTTATCTGTGGTCTTAGTTCCATCGTAAGGTATGTATAAGTAAGGAAATACTTGATGAATACGAACACAAGTTTTCTGTCCACCAGGAGTTGAGCCAAATATCCTCAAAACAGGAACACGGTTAACATTCGCCTCGCGAAATTTAGAAAACAAAATATCTAAGCCATCTATAGGTTTTCCCACGTAAAAATCTGCATCTACAATCCTAACAGAAAACATTCTGTTGTTCCAAGTAAGAAAATATATCGTCAATTAAAATTTTTGAAAGACGAAAGACGAGAGTTGAATCCGCCATATTTGTTTTAGATTATAGATTAGCCAATCAAAGATTTTATAATCAAACCCTTATACCAAGTCATCGTAATCACCTTTTTGGGATTAGATGGGATTTAGAAATCTTCCAAGGGTGAGCATGACTTTATAGACCTCGCTAGAAAGGCTCGCGCGTTTGGCGTTAGAAAATATACTCCCCAGAAGTTCATGTCTTTCTTCATGTCTAACTACGACACTGCATGTAAAGGATTTCCGCCTTCGTCGAGCAAAATGGTGTCCGCATCCTGATGTTTTTTGGTCCCGTACACCCATGTCAATACTGAAAATTAATAATAGTTAAATGTGTACAACATTTATGAGTTGATTGAGTTGAACTGAAATTAAATTTACAATAAAATTTCTAAATCAATCCCTTTCGTATATATTTCAATTGTAGCTAAAATATAAAATGTGCTCATCTCATTTTATCGTCTCGCTGTTATGAACAGAATTCAATATTTTACAATAAAAACAGCAGGTGATTAAAATCAAGCATTTATTGAACATTCCAATTTCTTTATTATCAAGAAAAAGCAAAGAAATCATGTAGATGGTTGCGTCTTCTTTGATCTTTCTAAATTTGTTAAGGTATGTTGATTGAAAAGTCCACCTATCATAGTGTCATTGTTTATTCTTATGTCTAGAATTTTGGTATATTTGTCATAAAAAACCTGAATGTCATTTTCGTGGTGGAATTCGCGCTTCATATGTTTTATATTGACACATCTGTTGATTTTGGTGGGATTTTCCCATTAACACATTAGATAATTTATCATTTCAAAATACTGACCTTTCTTGCATTATCACCAACAATCAATTTCACTTGTCTTGTCAAATATCATTGGTACGGCAGGGCTAAAAAATCAACAAAATAAATGAAAATCATGACACGTCACAGACTTTTAGTTATGCATATCATAAATGCGGAATGATTTTAACTTTATCTAACATGGCTTTTATCAAGAAGATTTTTTTCCTTTTTTATACAGTCATCTATTACTTATCTTATTTGTACCACAGATGATGAAATAAAAACGTTTTGTTAGGTATGTCTTTAGAAATTGCGCCTACTTTGAGTAAAAAGCTCACTTCTTCACGTGGTAGTACACGTGATTTTTTTCTGGTCTATATTTGTTCAACTTGTTGTAAGATAGACTATTTAAAATATTTGTTTGCGTCAAAAGTTCATAAAATGACAAAACTTTGCATGATGAACTGTCAAGTCCAAACGTTATCAATTGTGAAGTATCTCTGATTACTGAGATGTGACAAAATTATTAAAAACTATAGACTTCCTCAATTATAAATCTTTAATTTTTGAGCAATCTTATTTGTAAAGAGCTGTCTGCCCCGTCTTCCTTTATGACTATTTCAGTTAGTTTCCATTTAAGTCAGGATGTTCAATGTTTGAAATAAATAATAGTAAACTGTGAAAAGTTTATTGGCATAAAGCTTCGAAGTCAAAACTTCTTTGTGTTTACTTCAGTCATAGCTAAAATAAAAAATTTGCATTTCATATTTAATTGGGTATGAACAGAATTCAATATTTTACAATAAAAACAGCAGGTGATTAAAATCAAGCATTTATTGAACATTCCGATTTCTTTATTATCAAGCAAAAGCAAACACATCATGTAGTTTGTTGCTTGCTTTTTATCTTTTTGAATTTGTGAAGGTATGTTGATTTTAAAGTTTACTCGCCTTTATGTAATGGTGTATTTTAACCTTCTGATTTAATGTTTTGTATCCATGTATCAATTTTTTTTGTTTTGATGTCAGGAATATTGTAGTCAAATATAACTTATAAATTAGTGCCACGTATATTTTCTATGGATAAATTTTCTTCATTTTGGTGGGATTTTCAAACACAGATAAATTTTAGATACATTACACGAGGAAAATACGACTTTTCTCACATCAATACAAATTTACTCTAATCGTCTATTTCAAATTATATGAATACAGCAAAATTTATTAAATTAATGTGTTGAGTCAAAATAATGACACTTCAAAGAATGTTAGATGTGCATGTCATTATGTGCAACAACTTTACTTTTTCTAACATGGCTTTTATCATAACGTGTTTAACATTTTATACAATATACGACTAAAATATTAACATCAAAGGAGAGTATGAAGTTTATTATCTAGATGTTTACATTTCGCAAATTTCGCGTTAGATATCTATGGAACAATTAGTGGCTACAGATTTGCAAGATCACTATTTTTGTGTTCTTTCAGGTGATTAAAATCAAGCATTTAATGAACATTCCAATTTCTTTATTATAAGCAAAAGCAAAGTCATCATGTAGTTGGTTGCGTCGTTTTTAATCTTTCTGAATTTGTTAAGGTATGTTGATTTTATATTTTACCTTTCATAGTGTCATTGTTCTTATGTCTAGAATTTTGTTATATTTGTCATAAAAAACCTGAATGTCATTTTCGTGGTGGAATTCTCACTTCATATGTTTTATATTGATACATCTTTTGATTTTGGTGGAATTTTCCCAATAATTTATCATTTCAAAATACTGACCTTTCTTGCATTATCGCCAACAATTAATTTTACTAGTCTTTTCAAATATCATTGTTACGGCAGGGCTAAAAAATCAACAAGATGAATCAAAATTAGGACACGTCACAGAATTTCAGTTAGAAACTGTAGACTTCGAGATTATAAATCTTTAATTTTTGAGCAATCTTATTTGTAAAGGGCTGTCTGCCCCGTCTAGAATTTTGTCATATTTGTCATAAAAAACCTGAATTTTCATTTTCGTGGTGGAATTCGCGCTTCATATGTTTTCTATTGATACATCTGTTGATGTTGGTGGGATTTTCTCAATTTTACATTGGATAATTTATCTTTTCAAAATAATGACCTTTCTTGCATTATCACCAACAATTAATTTCATTGGTCTTTTCAAATAACATTGGTGCGGCAGGGCTAAAAAATCAACAAAATGAATCAAAATCATGACACGTCACAGAATTTCAGTTATGGATATCATTATGTGCAATAATTTTAATTTTATCTAAGATAGTATTTATCAAGAAGAATTTTTTTCCTCATTCATATTGTATGTAGATTAGAGGTGATCTAAGGCCCTTTACTTAAGCCTTTTCTTTCATGCTCCATCTCTTCCATATAACCTAATTCAGCAGACGTCTTTTTAGCTTTTCAATAATTGCCTATACAAACGACCCCATGGAGTTAAGCTCAAATGCCTGACGGTCACTCAAACTTCTGGGGGTCTTTTGCCTCCTCTCTAATAAGCCTATGCCACACCCAATATAATTGTACGAAACAGACACGTGGTACTGTTTTGTTGGTGTAAATGTGTTGAGTTCGAGTTACTCGCCATATCTCTTTTCGTAATATACTCTATACCTTCAGTAACAACCACGAGTGAACTTAATGATCGAACTGATTTTTATTATTTTACAGAGCAGTATTTATGGTCTTTATTACAAATAACAAATATTATTAATGGTCAGTATAGTTCCTCTATTTAAGCTATATATGGTACATAAAGAAATTTAACTAACGTCAATAACTGTTCCTTGGCTGCTAGCCGTGTGGGAACGGACACATTGGTAAACCAAACTACACACATACTATTTCCTTAACATGTTTCTGTGGTTTTTGAGCATGACTCAACACCCCCCCTTGCTCATTAACTAAATTAATAAATTAATACCTATTTACCAGTTATAAATGTTTTGAATCTACTTAATTTAATCTTACTTACAGCTTTCGTAAATATATCAGCCACGTTTTCATGTGTTGCTACATACATAATTTCTATTTTACCAGACCTTATTTCACTTGTGACAAAGTGATATCTAATATCTATGTGGTTAGACCTTTTGTGGTACATAGGGCTCTTTGCTAAGTTAAATGCGCCCTGAATTTCAACATTCAACAAAACACACTCGCCTTCCTTACAAATACGCAAATCAACACACAACTGTTTCAAAAATTTTGCTTCCTGAATAGCTTCAGTCAATGCCATATACTCAGCCTCACAAGTTGACAAAGCAACTGTAGATTGCTTCTTACTCCTCCAAGAAACCAAACTACCGTTCTCACTCAACCTTACACCGTAACCTGAAATACTACGCCTGTCATCCGCATCGCCAGCCCAATCAGAATCCGAAAAACCAACCGATTTTAAAACACTTTCACATTTTCTAAATGTAATTGTCTGATCTATTGTATCCTTTAAGTATCTAAGAACATGCTTTGTCTCTATTAGGTTTGCTTGTGTCGGTTTTGCCATCTTTTGAGACAGCTTTGTTACAATAAATCACAGATCAGGTCTAGTTCCTGTCACAACATATATAAGACTACCTACAATTTGTCTGTAAAGACTTGGATCTTCTAACTGAGGCGAGTGATCATGCGACATTTTATTTGTATCGGAAGATGATGGAGTGAGTTTGGGTTTACACTCCGACATGCCAAATTTGTTAGTAACTTAATAATATTTGCCTTTGACTCATTGTTATTTAAGTTTCTGAGCATTTTTCTAACTGAGGCGATTCTGTCCCTAAGACCCTAAGACCCAGGACAATATTCCTAAATCCTTCGTTTTAAAACGGTCGCTTAAGAGTTTCTTGACACTCTGCCATTTACTCTAGTAAGGTATCTTGACTCTCTAGATGTCTCTGGAGTACTAATGTCTTCGTTAGTTGTTTTGGGGTTTCTTTCATGCAATTTTGCTATCTGAGGTGCAAGTTCTTCATCATCTAGTTCTGGCAGTTCCCTGCTACCCTCCCTGAAGAACTTAGCGCATCTTACACGCTCTACCTTGTTAATGTCAGGGTAGTATAATACATATGCTGGACTATTTTTATCATACCCTACGAAAATATCTTGTTTACTTCTAGGGTCTAACTTTTTGGATTTTTGTGAATAACCATAACAAACACAACCAAAAACGTGCATTTTGCTCAAGTCTGATTTTGAGCCTGTAAAGGCTTCGAACGGAGTTTTGTTTAACCTCGAATTAAAACAACGATTCCTAATATAAGCAGATGCCATGAAGACATATGTCCAAATGGATTTTGGAAGTTCCGCTTCTAGCAATAGACACCTAGCCATGTTAAATAAAGTTAACCACGATCTCTCAACTGTGCCGTTCTGGTGTGGGAAATATGGTGCACTAGTTTCATGCCTAATTTTGTTTTCTCTAAGAATCGATTTGAGTTTCTCGCTTGTAAATTCAGCGCCGTTATCACTTCTTATGCGCTTCACATTTCCGTAAGGTGCAACATCTGCTAAAAATTGTTTTAATGCTTGTGGTGTATCGCTTTTTTGTTTAAGGAAATAGACCATATTCAATCCTGAATAATCATCCACAAACGACAATGCACATCTAAACCCTTCTCTTCCTTCCGGATTTGATATTTTGATCATAAGATGGGACATATAAGGCATTACTTAATAAGACATCCTGCTCATTTCCATGCAAGTCAACTAATTTGACTTCAGCAGTACCTTTACCGACTACTACGTTGGCTTTACTGCCATCTGCTAATTCAATAACATGCGCTTTACTATCAAATTTACTATCGAAATCTATAAATTTTGACTTATCGTTAACAATGTGGCTTGTAGCTCCTGTGTCCATCAGTAGAGTTAAATTCGCTTTATCCTTATCCTTCACGTCTGCTTCAGCGTTCTCTTCTTCATCTTCTCTTCTTTGACACGAATGAAATGGAGTGTTGCCATTCACTGTCACTTCACTCCTCGTCTTTAGCTGACTTGGACGTTTCTTTCGTCTATCGGCAATCTTTCGTGTCGTGGGTATTGGTCTTGCATATGGAGCACCATTTGTTCCCCTTCACTCAGCATTGTGAGCTTTTGTGTCCCTTTCTTTCACATTTGAAGCAATTTCCGTCAAATTTTGGTTTCACAAACATAGCGTTGTCACCTACGTCAGTTGGTGACAATGGTTTGATATTTTCTTCATGACTTCGTAACGAGTTTTTTAAATTCCGTAAATGTCATTTGTCTTTCCCTTTGAAATGTTACGGTAGCAAAGACGTCGTACGTGCTTGGCAGACCATTTAAAACCATTGCAATGAGTAGTGCATCACTTATTATCTCCTCGGCTTCTTTTAAGGCTGTTGCCGATCGTTCCGCTCGCAATACATAATCTGTGACAGTCTTGTCGTCACTTTTCTTCAGCGAAGTGAGTTCCGTGTAAAGAGCGATGATGCAAGTTTTTCCTCTACCTTGATAGTGATGTCTGAGGATTTCTAAAGCTCTCCGTCCATTGTCTTTTGCCTCCCGAATCACAAGAGACAAATTTCTGTCGACCAGACATAGGACCAACTCTGCAAAAGCGTAGCCAGTTTTGAAGCTGCTGGTTCTTCTCTCTCACTTGCTGATTCGTTAAATGCGGTCGAACAGTTTTTGAAGTTCCATATAGCCCAAGAATTTTACTTACAATATCTCGTATTTTCTTTCGCTTCCATCGAAAAGCAAACCTCTTCTGGGCCAATAACCTGTTGAGTTCGAGTTACTCGCCATATCTCTTTTCGTAATATACTCTATACCTTCAGTAACAACCACGAGTGAACTTAATGATCGAACTGATTTTTATTATTTTACAGAGCAGTATTTATAGTCTTTATTACAAATAACAAATATTATTATTGGTCGGAATAGTTCCTCCATTTAAGCAATATATGGTACATAAGGAAATTTAACTAACGTCAATAACTGTTCCTTGGCTGTTAGACGTGTGGGAACGGATACATTGGTAAACCAAACTACGCACATACTATTTCCTTAACATGTTTCTGTGGTTTATGAGCATGACTCAACAAAATGTACGACAAATTTTTTGAGCTTTTTTGTCATTTTCTAGATTTTCCAAAACATTTCAAGTGTTAGGCATGTTTTAAGAAACTTTAAATTCATGCAAAGAAACACAATAAGTAAATTGTACATTTTATGGCATTTACATGAAATTTGCATGTCGATTACTTACAGAATACTATAAAATGGTAATACCAGAATTTATCACAATATTTTACAGTGTGTAATGAATTTTTTTTTTAAATGTTCGCCTGGACACAGTCTCAATTTGCATTCTACACAACTAGAATGAATTTTTTGCTTTTTTTTCTATAAAACATGACTTAACATGACATGTGCTATATTTTACATAATTTTTTTTATTGAAAAGGAAAAATACTTGAAAAATTTCTCAAGGTTGTCTTTACAATTAATTCTAGAATGCAATCAGATCGTTTATAAGAAATAGGAATTTTTTTTTAAATGCAAAGGCTAAATTACAGAACACTCTGCTTCATATATATTTCTATTGTACAGCTGACTAAGTAGTTATTGTATTCAAGTAGACTGCCTGTACAAACTTTGTGTGTCAATTGGACAAATTGTTGAACACCTTCCTAAGTAATAATATAACTCAGTACCTCCATTTTCATTCCAACATGCAGTGGCGTCGCTAAAGTGCGGCCTTGGAAGAGGGCAAGTGCCCCCCTAAAAATTGCCTGTGCCCCCCAAGTGCCCTCCATTTGAACTTTAGTTAGAGTCTTCATATGTGTCATTCGAAATTGAAAAAGAAGCACATGGTGTTAATGTAGCTCTTACAGAATTCGCACAACTTTACTGTAAAGGGAAGTATTCTTTTAGCTGTCCAGACTAGTTTGCGTTGTATTTACTCTTTCTGGGTTGTTAGCCTAGTGGTGAAGATTTTAATTCCTTAAAAATGGAAAAACAAAACAATAATTCTAGAATAATTCAAGTCTCTAGTGGGCAAAAAAGAACAAGTAATATTGTGATGCATGTCATGAACCACATTACACCATATCATAGAACTTGTATGAGATTGTGGACAAGTATACTCGTAGACTCAAACTTGTAGACACAAAAATACAAATATAGCAATGACTAAGAGTAAGGTTCATGAAAATAGTGAAATTCTGGGAGTATTATAATATGAAAACATTTCATTAAAATCAATAATCAATCTACGTAACGTTATAACACGAAGAATGTACAAATCCGCCAAGGTTTAACTGAGAAGTTAAAAAATTGAAACTATTCATGTTGTGATAAATATTTCAAAAATTTCCCAGTGCAGAAGCAATTTTTAGGGCCATTTCGCTAGCGACGGACATGGTACAAATTTTGTGCCCCCCCCCACTCACAAAATCCTGGCAACGCCACTACAAAAATGTACCCAAATGAACTGGTGACCACCATCCTCAAAAAAGAAGTGTGACAGTTAATTTTAGGCAACCAACCACTTACTCTGCACAATTATTATCATAACAGGTAATAAGCTCAAAACATAAATAGGATCACTTACTTGTCCAAGGTATTCAAGGTCATTCATGAAAGGCTCCAAGAATGTCAATGCTATATTTTGATAATTGAACTGTTGCCATAAGGAGTAGGTGAATGTTATCACACTGGGATCGATATCGAGGATCCATATTTCCAGTTGTGTAGTAAACAACTCCTGTCATACAGAAATAATGGCATATGATGTAATAAGAGCTTCTTATAGCCTTTCATTGCTCATACACTTTTTTACATTTGAGTGACTGATTTAGTGACTATGATGTCATTAAACTATTACCTAACTTATGCTTTCCAGTTTTACTACCAAGGGCATTTGCAATTTCCAACTCATCATAGTAAAGCATGATTTGTAAAGCAGTTGAGTCCTTGGAAAACAGAGGATGGGTTTTGAAATACTGGCCATCGCAAACATCCTCAATCACATCATCATGTTTATGTTGCCGAAGATGACCATGGTTTAGCTGAAATTGAAATCGAAGAATGAATATATTTAATTTATTAATAAATTAAATTTATTATTAAACAGCAATGGAAATGTCTGGTGGTAGGATGGGTGCCTTCCGACCATCAGATATTTCAAATTAAAATCAGGCTATTTTCATATTTTCATGAAATAATTGGAATATGTTTTTGGAAATGTGCTCTAATAAACGCATGTCATCATTGTTTTTGCTTTCATGGAAACTAACACAGTAAAACACACATAAAGTTCCTTTTATGGTTATACATAGAACATGTATCAATATTTTGTAACCCTGTTATTGATATGGGTACTTGCAAAGATGTAGTTGTCATAGTTTGATAAACTTGCCAACATAAAAAAAAACACAACCATGCTATTAACAATCTGACCTGTTCAAGTACTCTTTTTACATTGAGCATTTTTTCCAAGGATTTAAGCAGTGGTATGTACATGAGTTTGTCATCTTTAATAACCTCTTTGTACACAGTCCTTGAACGTCTTTTCACAACTCTGTGTCCAAGTTTAATTCGTCTGGGTTGCTACAATTAAAATAATGATTATGCATAACAAGCACTAAAGAGCAGCTGGCTCAAATATGTTAAAAATCTCAAAAATGTTTTGCTCATGAAATTTACAGCTATAATCCAAAATGGAATGTTTTTATTGGGCACCTGAGATCTGATGTATAATTATAGCAAAGTGGGCACCTATACATGCAAATGTTGCATCTCTGATGTCGGTAGAAAAGTCAGCCCATTTTTTACTCCTATGTACAATACAAATATTGCTTTAATCGATTACTTTGAAAAACAATGAATGAGATTAATTTCTAAAGAAATAAACAACAAACTTTGCAAGCCTTGCCCCCTGTCAGGAGCACAGTTTACAAACTAACCACTCCAGTCTGGGTTATAATAATCAAAGATGTGTTTTTTCTTCATTAATAATAAAAAACAATAATGACCTGTAGAATATAAGGAACATGAGCTTCGTGTGGTTGAAATGACTTGTTCAATATAGCTCCATTCTGAAGAAGATCAGCATGTCTGAAAAAAATGAAAAATTTTGATGTCGTTCTATGTTAGAACAACATGAAAAATATATCTTACTTGGGAATTATTCTTGGATTGTACAACTCTATCTTAATAAACTCTTCTTCGTTCTCATGATAACCATAAAATAGTCTAAAAACTAAAATCATTTTGGGTGAATAATATTGAAACATTATTGGGTCGAAAATAGAAGATTTTGTATTGTGATGTAAAGAAGAGAGTAAAAAGGATTTAGTAATAGTAAGCTTTGTCAACATGAGGAGAAAACAAGGAAAATAACTTACATTTTCTTAACAATTTCAGTTTTATGAACATATTTCATAGAAGATGATGTTCTACCGAACGCAACTTGAACAGCAAAGTCTACACTTGTCGTATATTGTTTCAGATATTTATCTGTGGGTTTAGTTCCATCGTAAGTTTTGTATAAAAAAGGAAATACTTGATGAATAGGAGCACAAGTTTTCTGTCCACCAGGAGTTGAGCCAAAGATTCTCAAAACTGGAACACAGTTAACATTCGCCTCGCGAAATTTAGAAAACAAAATATCTAAGCCATCTATAGGTTTTCCCACGTAAAAATCTGCATCTGCAATCCTAACAGAAAACATTCTGTTGTTCCAAGTAAGAAAATATATCGTCAATTAAAATTTTTGAAAGACGAAAGACGAGAGTTGAATCCGCCATATTTGTTTTAGATTATAGATTAGCCAATCAAAGATTTAATAATCAAACCCTTATACCAAGTCGTCGTAATCAACTTTTTGGGATTAGATGGGATTTAGAATTTTTCCAGGGGTGAGCATGACTTTATAGATCTCGCTAGAAAGGCTCACGCGTTTGGCGTTAGAAAATATGCTCCCCAGAAGTTCATGTCTTTCTTCATGTCTAACTACGACACTGCATGTAAAGGATTTCCGCTTTCGTCGAGCAAAATAGTGTCCGCATCCTGATGTTTTTGGTCCCGTACACCCATGTCAATACTGAAAATTAATAATAGTTAAATGTGTACAACATTTATGAGTTGATTGAGTTGAACTGAAATTGAATTTGCAATAAAATTTTAAAATCAATCCCTGTCGTGTATATTTCAATTATAGCTAAAATATAAAATTTGCTCATCTCATTTTATCGTCTCGCTGTTATGAACAGAATTCAATATTTTACAATAAAAACAGCAGGTGATTAAAATCAAACATTTATTAAACATTCCAATTTCTTTATTATCAAGCAGAAGCAAGGGCATCACGTAGCTGGTTGCGTCTTCTTTAATCTTTCTGAATTTGTTAAGGTATGTTGATTATGAAGTCCACCTATCAGAGTGTACTTGTTTATTTTTATGTCTAGAATTTTGTTATATTTGTCATAAAAAACCTGAATGTCATTTTCGTGGTGGAATTCGCACTTCATATGTTTTATATTGATACGTCTGTTGATTTTGGTGGGATTTTCCCAATAACCCACTAGATAATTTATCATTTCAAAATACTGACCTTTCTTGCATTATCAACAACAATTAATTTCGCTTGTCTTTTCAAATATCATTGGTACGGCAGGGCTAAAAAATCAACAAGATGAATCAAAATCAGGACACGTCACAGAATTTCATTTATGCATATCATAAATGCGGAATGATTTTAACTTCATCTAACATGGCTTTTATCAAGAAGAATTTTTTTCCTTTTTTATACAGTCATCTATCTCTTTATCTTATTCGTACCACAGATGATGACATAAAAACGTTTTGCTAGGTATGTCTTAAAAAATTGCGCCTAATTGGAGTGAAAAAATCACTTCTTCACGTGATAGTACACGTGATTTTTTTCTGGTCTATATTTGTTCAACTTATTGTAAGATAGACTATTTAAAATATTTGTTTGTGTCAAAAGTTCGCAAAATGACAATACTTTGCATGATGAACTGTCAAGTCCAAAAGCTATCAGTTTTCTAGTATCTATGATTAATGATATGTGACAAAATTATTCTAAATTAGAGACTTCGAGATTAATTACTCTCATATTCCCTTCTTAAATAACGATTGCCCCTGAAATCTTAAGCTCCTCCCCACAATTTTACTTGCTTCTTACGCCCCTGATCAGATTATTTGTTTATCCGTATCAAAAGTTTACAAAATGACAAAACTTCATTGACAACGTTTCAAAGTTGGAACGCTGAGAATTTTAGAGAAGCTCTGTTTATAGATTTTCTTAACTTCCTAAAATATTAATCTTTAATTTTTGAGCTATCTTACTTTTAAAAGGCTGGCTGCCTGTCTTCCTTTATGATTATTTCAGTTAGTTTGCACGTAAGTCCGGATGTTCAATAATTGAAATAAATAATAGTAAACTGTGAAAGGTTTATTGGCATAAAGCTTCCAAGTCAAAACTTCTTTGTGTTTACTTCAGTCATAGCTAAGATAAAAAATTTGCATTTCATATTTTATGGGTATGAACAGAATTCAATATTTTACAATAAAAACAGCAGGTGATTAAAATCAAGCATTTAATGAACATTACAATTTCTTTATTATCAAACAGAAGCAAAGACATCATGTAGATGGTTGCGTCGTGTTTAATCTTTCTAAATTTGTTAAGGTATGTTGATTATAAAGTTCACTTAACAGAGTGTAGTTGTTTGTTCTTATGTCTAGAATTTTGTTATATTTGTCATAAAAAATCTGAATGTCATTTTCGTGGTGGAATTCGCGCTTCATAAGTTTTATATTGATACATCTGTTGATTTTGGTGGGATTTTCCTAATAACACATTGGATAATTTATTATTTCAAAATACTGACCTTTCTTGCATTATCACCAACAATTAATTTCACTTGTCTTTTAAAATATCATTGGTACGGCAGGGCTAAAAAATCAACAAAATGAATCAAAATCATGACACGTCGCAGAATTTCAGTTATGCATATCATAAATGCGGAATGATTTTAATTTTATCTAACATGGCTTTTATCAAGAAGAATTTTTTTCCTCTTTTATACAGTCATCTATCTATATATCTTATTGGTAACACAGATGATGACATAAAAACGTTTCCTAGGTATGACTTTAAAAATTACGCCTTATTGGAGTAAAAAGCTCACTTTTCACGTGATAGTACACGTGATTTTTTCTGGTCTATAATTGTTAAACTTGTTGTAAGATAGACTATTTAAAATATTTGTTTGCGTCAAAAGTTCACAGAATGACAAAACTTTGCATGATGAACTGTCAAGTCCAAACGCTATCAATTTTGAAGTATCTATGATTACTGGGATGTGACAAAATTATTCTAAATTATAGACTTCGAGATCAATTACTCTGTTATTCCCTATTTAATTAAAGACTGCCCCTAAAATTTTGAGCCCCATAACATATACTTGCTTCTCACGCCCCTGATCAGATTATTTGTTTATCCGGATCAAAAGTTTACAAAATGACAAAACTTCATTGACCACGTTTCAAAGTTAGAACGTTGACAATTTCATAGAAGCTCTGTTTATCGATTTTCTTATCTTCTTGAATCTTTTATTTTTGAGCCATTCTACTTGTAAAAGGCAGGCTGACCGTCTTTTTAGCTTTTCATTAATTGCCTATGCAAACGACCCCATGGAGTTAAGCTCAAATGCCCGACGATCACTCAAACTTCTGGGGGTGCTTTTCCTCCTCTCCATTAAGCATATGTTACACCCAATATATTTGTAAGAAACAGACACGTGGTACTGTTTTGTTGGTGTAAATGTGTTGAGTTCGAGTTACTCGCCATATCTCTTTTCGTAAAATACTCTATACCTTCAGTAGCAACCACGAGTGAACTTAATGATCGAACTGATTCTTATTATTTTACAGAGCAGTATTTATAGTCTTTATTACAAATAACAAATATTAATATTGGTCGGAATAGTTCCTCTATTTAAGCTATATATGGTACATAAGGAAATTTAACTAACGTCAATAACTGTTCCTTGGCTGTTAGCCGTGTGGGAACGGATACATTGGTAAACCAAACTACGCACATACTATTTTCTTAACATGTTTCTGTAGTTTATGAGCATGACTCAACTCCCCCCACTTTCTTATTAACTAAATTAGCAAATTAATATCTATTTACCAGTTATAAATGTTTTGAATCTACTTAGTTTAATCTTACTTACAGCTTTCGTAAATATAACAGCCACATTTTCATGTGTTGCTACATACATAATTTCTCTTTTACCAGCCCTTATTTCACTTCTGATAAAGTGATATCTAATATCTATGTGTTTAGTTAGACTTTTTGTGGTACATAGGGTTCTTTGCTAAGTTAATTGCACCCTGATTGTCAACATTCAACAAAACACACTCGCCTTCCTTACAAATACGCAACTCAACACACAACTGTTTCAAAAATTTTGCTTCCTGAATAGCTTCAGTCAATGCCATATACTCATCCTCACAAGTTGACAAAGCAACTGTAGATTGCTTCTTACTCCTTCAAGAAACCAAACCACCGTTCTCACTCAACCTGAAACCGTAACTTGAAATACTATGCCTGTCATCCGTATGGCCAGCCCAATCATAATCAGAAAAACTAACAAATTTCAAAACACTTTCACATTTGTAAATGTAATTGTCTGATCTATTGTATCCTTCAAGTATCTAAGAACATGCTTTGCCTCTATTAGGTTTGCTTGTGTCGGTTTTGCCATCTTTTGAGACAGCTTTGTTACAATAAATTACAGATTCAGGTCTAGTTCCTGTCACAACATATATAAGACTACCGACAATTTGTCTGTGAAGACTCGGATCTTCTAGCTGAGGCGATTGATCATGCGACATTTTATTTGTATCGGAAGATGATGGAGTGGTTTTGGGTTTACACTCCGACATGCCAAATTGCATTAGTAACTTAATAATATATTGCCTTTGACTTATTGTTGTTTCATCTTCTTAGCATTTGAATTCAGTCCCTAAGAACCAGGACAATATTCCTAAATCTTTCATCTTAAAACGGTCGCTTAAGATTTTCTTGACACTCTACATTAATGTGTTATTGTTAGCAACAATGATAATATTATCTACCCATACTATTAGGATAGTAACATTTTTTCCTTCAAATCGCGTATAAACGCATGGGTCGACAAATGATTGTTTGAAAGCTTTCCCTATTGAGTGTTCATGCAATACGTTATTCCGATTCCTACCACTTTGTTTTAATCCATACAAAGAATTTTTCAATCTGTACACTAAATTTTTACTATTTTCATCTATTTCCTTATATCCTTCGGGTTGATGCATATAAATTTCGCAGTCCATTGGGACGTTAAGATAAGCTGTTTTTACATCCATCTGATGCAATGACATGTTGTTTTGAACAGCGTGTTGAAGCAATACACGGATAGAACACATGCGTGCAGTTGGCGGAAAGGTTTCGTTGTAGTCAATACCTGGAGTCTACGAGTATCGCTTTGCTACATAACGGGCTTTACGGGTCTCTCTTCATGTTTCCTACTTTTACGGTGTATACCCATTTTCCCCCACTATGTCTCTATTTGTTGGGGGTGGAACAAGTTCAAACGTATCATTGTCAATTAACGCTTTCATTTCATCATTCATGGCTTTTTGCCATTTTACTTTTACAATAGAGCTTATTGCTTGGGAATATGTCGTTGGGATGTTGGATACTCTATACTATAGAGTCTATAGCAATAATCTATGGTATATGAGACAGTATCCTCTTTACAACTTTACTGTAAAGGAAAGCATTCTATTAGCTGTGTAAACTAGTTTGCGTTGCATTTACCCTTTCTGGTTGTTAGCCGAGTGGAGAAGACTAATTTTTTAAAAATAAAAAAAACAAAACAACAATCCTACAATAATTCAAGTCTCTAGTGGGCAAGGAAGAACAAGTAATATTGTGACGCTTATCATGAACCACATTACACCATATCATAGAATTTGTATGAGATCGTGGACAATTATACTCGTAGACTCAAACTTGTAGACACAAAAATACAAAATATAGCAATGACTAAGAGTAAGGCTCATGAAAATACTGCAATTCTGGAAGTATTATAATATAAAGACATTTCGTTAAAATCAATAATCAATCTACGTAACGTTATAACACGAAGAATGTACAAATCCGCCAAGGTTTAACTAAGAAGTTAAAAAATTGAAACCATTCATGTTTTGATAAATATTTCAAAAATTTCCCAGTGCAGAAGAAATTTTTAGAGCCATTTCGCTAGCGACTGACGGGGTATAAATTTTGTGCTCTACACTCGCAAAATCCTGGCGACGCCACTACCAAAATGTAGCCAATTGCCTAAAAGCAGGAAAACTAAAATGTCCAATTGCGTTGTTTTCAGCTGCCATCCTTGAAATTCATTTACACGTACAAGTAAAACCGTAACATTACGTAGCTATGTTTGAACTTCAACAATTTTAGTTGTCTATAAACTCTAATTAAAGAACCAATTTATGTTTATATTAATAATTTTATGATCTTTAGATGCAGTCAAGGGAAGAAATTAATAACTCCTCTCTGCAGAAAGTACTTACAGATGTTGAAAAGAAACTTGTTGATCTTTTTATCCAAGAATGGAACACTTATTACAAACAATCTGTCGGAGATTGGGAAAATACAAACGTCAGTGGTCAGAAATTGTTCAATATTGAAAAATCAAAAAAAATATTTCGTGATGAAAAACATTGTCAAAATTTAAAGATGGTGACACCAGTAAGTGGGATTGTACGACAATATGTAAAGCAATATTGTTTACCCACTCAATTGGAACAAAATTAATGAAAAGTTAGAGCTGCTGTGACAAACTTCGTGATGTAAGAAACAAATTCATCCATGAAAATAAAGGAAAAGTTTCTGATTCGAAATTTCATACAATGGTTTGTGATATTGAAAACTCATTTCAAGATTTAGGATTTTCATTCACTGAAATTATCAAAATAAAAAGTGAGCGAAACATATTTTATTCTTTTCAAGTACTTCCTTGCAAATCAAATCACAATGTGGTTAAACGTACAGAATTACTTAACCAAATCACAGTAGATCTCAATAATTTGCGCAGTACTAACAATAATGAACTAACATATTACTATATTTCTGGTAATCCTGGCAGTGGTAAATCGCAATTAGCTAGACAAGTTTGTGAAGAAATGTATAACTCGTTTGATTGGGAAAAGAATACGACATTTGTAATGACACTCGAAGGAAAAGATAACGACTCTCTTTTGAACACTTATGCCGAACTTTATGAACGATTAAGCAATGATAAAACTGTCATTGAAAATATTCTCAAAGAAGCAAAAAGCAGCGAAGACAAAATTAAAGATTTTCAATTATTGCTGACACAACAACTGAAATCTTGGCAAACATGGTGGATTGTTGTAGATAACGTGGTTGAACTTCATAAAATTTATCCATTATTACCTCAAGTTGGTGATCATAGCTGGAAAAATGGTCAAATTATAGTAACTGTCCAAAATACAGATGCTATACCACCAGATGGAAATCTAAATAAACACATTTCAATTAGTCATGGTATGAACAATGAAGAATGTCGACAACTTCTATCTGTCTTTTCTGATATTCATAATAAAGATGAAAAATTTTTAAACGATTTATCAGACAAATTAGATCGTCAACCGTTGTTCCTGGCAAATGCTGCTTCCTACGTAGGTAGTGTAAAAAGTGTAAATCCGACATTCACGTGGGAGCAATATTTTGATAAGTTGAATGAAGGAGAGCGACAGAACATGGATGGCAATTTTCAAAAATAAACACATCTTACTTAGGAATGAAAACTGTTATGTTAGCAGTACAAAAATGCTGAAGAATCCATCTTGTTGGAACATGTTTTAAACTTTTCTCAATAATATCTTTCGATCCCTTACCACAAGATGTTATAATAACTTTTATTAAAAGCATTGATCCACAAAAATCTGCAGAAGATGTCTGTCTTCAATTAAAGCATTGTTCTTTATTCCTTCAAACGGAAAACAACGACATCCGCCTTCACAGCGTTGTACACGAAGCCATCATAAATTATTCATCGCAGACCTTTGGCTGTATTCAAAACGAAAATAATTCAAAAAAGTCTGCAGCTGATCTTGCCTGTCGAGTTGCTTGGGCACTAAATCATTTTGAAAACAGAGAAGATGAAATCAAAATAATTCCACATCTAATTAAATTCATAACAAATTCATCATTTCAACATTTCCTAAATAAGTTAATCGATGTAAAATCATCAAAACAAAAACTTGATGAAAGAAATTGGAAATTTGCCAAATATTTTGTAGATGTTTTGAAAAGATTTTGCAACTATAAACTTGCAACTAAAGTACTTTATGAAATAACAGAAATTCAAACTAAAGTATTAGGTGTTGCTCATACTGATGTTTCATATTCGTACAACGAGCTGGGTGTATTGCTTTGGAAGAATGGAGAGTATGAAAATGCTAAAGATTTTCTCGAGCGAGCAATGGAAATTCAAACGAAAGCATTTGGACCTGACCATGTTAATATTACGATAACGTACAACAATCTGGGTTTGGTTTACGATAAAATGGGAGAGTACGAAAATGCTAAAGATTTTTATGAACGAGCGATGAAAATTCAAACAAAAGCATTTGGACCTGACCATGTTAATATTGCGCCAACGTACGACAATCTGGGTATGGTTTACAAAAACATGGGAGAGTACGAAAAAGCAAAAGATTTTTATGAACGAGCGATTGAAATTGAAACGAAAGCATTTGGACCTGACCATGTTAATATTGCGATAAGGTACAACAATCTGGGTTCGGTTTACGATAGTATGGGAGAGTACGAAAAAGCAAAAGATTTTTATGAACGAGCGATTGAAATTGAAACGAAAACATTTGGACCTGACCATGTTAATATTGCGACAATGTACAACAATCTGGGTTCGGTTTACATAAAATGGGAGAGTACGAAAAGCAAAAGATTTTTATGAACGAGCGATAGAAATTGAAACGAAAACATTTGGACCTGACCATGTTAATATTGCGACAACGTACAACAATCTGGGTTTGGTTTACGATAATATGGGAGAGTACGAAAAAGCAAAAGATTTTTATGAACGAGCGATAGAAATTGAAACGAAAACATTTGGACCTGACCATGTTAATATTGCGTCAACGTACAACAATCTGGGTTCGGTTTACGATAAAATGGGAGAGTACGAAAAGCAAAAGATTTTATGAACGAGCGATAGAAATTGAAACGAAAACATTTGGACCTGACCATGTTAATATTGCGACAACGTACAACAATCTGGGTTCGGTTTACAATAATATGGGAGAGTACGAAAAGCAAAAGATTTTTATGAACGAGCGATAGAAATTGAAACGAAAACATTTGGACCTGACCATGTTAATATTGCGACAACGTACAACAATCTGGGTTTGGTTTACAAAATATGGGAGAGTACGAAAAGCAAAAGATTTTTATGAACGAGCGATAGAAATTGAAACGAAAACATTTGGACCTGACCATGTTAATATTGCGACAACGTACAACAATCTGGGTTTGGTTTACGATAATATGGGAGAGTACGAAAAAGCAAAAGATTTTTATGAACGAGCGATAGAAATTGAAACGAAAACATTTGGACCTGACCATGTTAATATTGCGACAACGTACAACAATCTGGGTTTGGTTTACAAAATATGGGAGAGTACGAAAAGCAAAAGATTTTTATGAACGAGCGATTGAAATTGAAACGAAAACATTTGGACCTGAACATGTTAATATTGCGACAACGTACAACAATCTGGGTTTGGTTTACAAACATATGGGAGAGTACGAAAAAGCAAAAGATTTTTATGAACGAGCGATTGAAATTGAAACGAAAACATTTGGACCTGAACATGTTAATATTGCGATAAGGTACAACAATCTGGGTTCGGTTTACGATAATATGGGAGAGTACGAAAAAGCAAAAGATTTTTATGAACGAGCGATTGAAATTGAAACGAAAACATTTGGACCTGACCATGTTAATATTGCGACAACGTACAACAATCTGGGTTTGGTTTACAAAATATGGGAGAGTACGAAAAAGCAAAAGATTTTTATGAACGAGCGATTGAAATTGAAACGAAAACATTTGGACCTGACCATGTTAATATTGCGACAACGTACAACAATCTGGGTTTGGTTTACAAACATATGGGAGAGTACGAAAAAGCAAAAGATTTTTATGAACGAGCGATAGAAATTGAAACGAAAACATTTGGACCTGACCATGTTAATATTGCGACAACGTACAACAATCTGGGTTTGGTTTACAAAATATGGGAGAGTACGAAAAAGCAAAAGATTTTTATGAACGAGCGATAGAAATTGAAACGAAAACATTTGGACCTGACCATGTTAATATTGCGACAACGTACAACAATCTGGGTTCGGTTTACGATAATATGGGAGAGTACGAAAAGCAAAAGATTTTTATGAACGAGCGATAGAAATTGAAACGAAAACATTTGGACCTGACCATGTTAATATTGCGAAACGTACAACAATCTGGGTTTGGTTTACAAAATATGGGAGAGTACGAAAAGCAAAAGATTTTATGAACGAGCGATTGAAATTGAAACGAAAACATTTGGACCTGAACATGTTAATGTTGCGATAAGGTACAACAATCTGGGTTTGGTTTACAAACATATGGGAGAGTACGAAAAAGCAAAAGATTTTTATGAACGAGCGATAGAAATTCAAACAAAAACATTTGGACCTGACCATGTTAATATTGCGTCAACGTACGTCAATCTAGGTTCGGTTTACAGAGATATGGGAGAGCACGAAAAAGCAAAACATTTTTATGAACGAGCGATAGAAATTGACACCAAAACATTTGGACCTGAACATGTACTGCAATAATATACAACAATCTTCATTTAGTTATAAACAAACTATAGATATTGAAACTGAAGTATTTGGACTTCTATTTATCTTTAATTTTCTAGAAGCTAAAATACTCCTGTCTTTGAGAAAATGTACAAGGAGATAGAAGAAGAGGAAATGAATTTGTAGCTCCTTTTCAATGAAGAAGAAAATCAATTTCTCTTTTCATTTTAGGTATGTCTTCTTTATACTAAAGCTGATTACAACAGTTGTATTGTAGATTTCTTTTAACAAAGGTTCAAATAACAACAGTTGTATATTTATAAAAGGTATAAATATATTATTGACAATAATCAAACATTTGTATTTTCAAGTTTTTAACTTTCATTTATTCACTGGAACAGTTTTTATTAAGAAACTTGTATGGAAGTATCAAAGTATATTTATGAGTTTAGTTTGCAATATCTAGCTATTCAGAAGTTGTGAAGTTCCTTAAAATGAAAGTTGTTGGGTCATTTTCTTGTATAATGAGAATAAATACTGATCTTACAGCAACCATGATCATGTAACATCTCCTTTTGAAATGCTGAAAAGCCCACAAGATTTGCTTTGCTATATAAGTATGAATACAGTCTTTTCTATATTTATTTCTACTCATTCATATAATTTACAAAATATACTTTCTATTTATGAGAATTGTAGTTGTTTGAAATGGACATGCAGTTATTGTTATTTGATTCAATCATACTTGATTTGGGGACTAACATCTTAATTGTTGTGACAATGTTTGTTTTTTTTTACTTTGGAGGAAATATTTATTTAATGTTTGATTCAATAATACTTTTTATAGTTCAATCTATAAAGGCAATGTAAAGTAAAAGTTATAAATAACCTGAAGAAGAAAAAGCAGGATATCATTGCCATAGCATTGACAGAAGTAAAAATGACACATTTAACTTTCCGACTACCAGATTTACTAATCTATAAAAAATCCCAGCAGTGGCGCAGGATACTTGTTAATTGGGGGCACAAACTCATATATGCATGTCTTAATCTGTTGAAAACAATGGATTTCAAAGGAACTTAATGTGGCAGAACATGAATATATGAATATGTGCCTCCTACCCAAAATAAAGAGTCTGCTATGTCATTTATTCCCAGGGCATCTTGAAGAGCTCTGGCATTGTGTGTAACAGTTAGTATTTCATTTTGCAAGGAACTTCTTATTTTTTTCCAAAACATTATTTGAACATTAGAGAAATTGTGTACAAACTATAAAAAGTTTATATTAGGAATATATTTCTAGGGCAACACCCTCCTTTAAAGTATGTATCCATGTTCAGGAGTGAATGACATGACCAGACATTTTTGGCTAATGTCTTTACAACTGATAAGAACAGTAAATGAGTCATTTCTACTGGTGTCTTTACTACTGATATGGACAGTAATGAGTCATTTTCATTGCTATGACATTCATGTCTTGCTTTTGCTATAGTTTATACTTTACATTGCTTTGAAACTGATTCTCCCAGCTACATAAATGATTTTACCACAAAATCACAATACAAAATGTTGTGGTAATCTCTGATCCCAAGAAAATCGAATATAAATTAAAAATGAGATTTACTAAATTTAAATTTAAGCGAAAAAAAGAACATTGTCACAACAATTAAGGTGTAAATCCCCAACCGCAAATAGAAAGAAATGTTGAATCAAGTAACCAAACTATTGACCTTCTCTCCACACACAATTCTTTTAAATAAAAATTATATTTTACCATTTATCACAGTTAACAGAAATTTGTATATTTACACAGCAAAGCCAGTGTTTGGGCTTTTTAGAAAACTTACTAAGCACTATAAATTTTACATGTAAATAATGTACATGTTAAGATTTTTCTTATTAAACACCAAAAATACCAAACAAACACTCCATTTAAACCTTTGCCTACAGAAATTGAAAATACAACTGTTGCTGGTCAGCTAAAGGAAAAAGAAAACATACCCAAAAGCCAGGGCTAACAAAGCATCTTGCTCCTTAAAATGGAGCCACAAATCCATTCCTTTCTGTAAAGACTAAACACAATAAAAATCCTTTGCTGACAAGCGTTTTTATAGATCTGGCATTGGTGACCACCTGACAATGTAATTTATCTTTATGTATGTTTTAGGTAGTGATGTAGCCAAGAAAAATGGAGCTTTTACTCTAATTATGTGTGTCTGCCCATATTTACTGTTGTCATCTCATATGTAGTGTAGTGAGTAACGAAAAAGAAATTGAACAACAAAATATTTATTTTTATACCACTGGTAGATATTTCTATAGCAATATACCCTACGAGTTATTAAAGCGCTGAATTCTGATATCTTCCTTTGATTCTTATTTTTTTATTTTTCCTAAATTATACACGTATTTAATAAAATATATATTTAAGTTGATTTATCCAAAGGGAAACCCCACGTTCTGGGAATCTAGGTTCTTGATACAGGGTGTTTCAAAAAAAGGTAATCCAACTTTTACTTGTTGATGTATGTGAATTACTGAATAAATAACTGTAGTTTTAAATATTTAAACAAAGAGTTCTAGGTTCTAGCTATGGAATGCTATGTTGTTTGTTGAGATTTGAAAGGAAAATGAGTGAAATGCAAGTGCGTTAAAAAATTTTGGTCAAAATCGCATTCTTTCACCTTTGAGCATTTTTCCATCAACATGAAAAGTGCTTCACTTTGATTTTGCTGGTTTGTTGACTGACTATCACATATTTCATGGTGATGTCTCATTTTTCAATCTTGACAATATTTGAAATTATCTAACATTTACAACTACCATGATTCAGCAAAAATTGATCCTCAAGGATTCATTTTTTATCATTTTCGCGCACTGTTTTGAATATAAACGACGCAGCATATATTAAAATAGCATTCAGATTAAGACTGTCTATTTCTGTGCCAAGGTATTTATAAACTTCTATTATATTGTAAGTTCTCATCACCTAACTAAAGGATTGTATCACATTGGCCAAGTCGTTGAAATATATTAGGAAGAACAAAGGGCCCAGAATAGAAACCTGTGGGTTTCCTGTGAGACTTTCTTCTTCCTGTGATATAACTCTTCATATTATAAAGCGAATATATAACAAAAGAGAGACGCAAAGGTATAGAAACTGAGGTAGACCCAAATGTGGACAAAAACATAGACAAAAAGGTAACACAAATAAAGGCAAAAAGATATACAAAAAGATACACGGAAGATTGACAAAAAAAGGAAAACTAATGGAAACAAAAAGTTAGACACAAAAGTAGACGTAAAGACTAAAGTCAGACAAAAACATTATAATGTGCAAAGATTGTCGTTTCACAAAAAGATAAATTGCTTTTTTTTACATTTGATTTCAGACATTTGGACCAACAAACTGAAAGCAGTTAAGCTTGTTTCGGAAGAAAAAGAATGGACGATATTAACTAACCATCGTATCTAGCAAATTTTCAGGCTATCTGACAAACACCCCAGTTCCATGTCGGCGATGGCCATTTCTTACAACTGTGCATGTCGCACACGGCATGAAATTGAAAATATTGACTGCAGTAAGAAAATTAGGATTTATATAATTTTTTTTTTTGATAAAGATAAATTCCATGTTTTTATTCCACAAGATTTTCACATTAAAAAATGTCGAAATTGATAATGGCGTAATTTTATTCATCTGTAAAGAAATTGAAATTTTGTACAGTTACAAAAGCTAATTTAAACACCTGAGATAAACATAACTTTCTCATGAGTTTATTTTGTGTCTGTAAAAATCTTACCTTCATAAATCGTTGGTTAAAAGTGACTTGTCTTTTGATCAATTGTCGAGACAAGAATCGTGATCTAAGAAAGAAAAATGCTCAGGAAAAGGTTTTAAAACAGCCAAAGGCCAATAAACTGCATTTGACTTGGAGACACTGGAGATTGAAATGTCGCTAAAGAACAAAATCTTTTGATTTCCCATTCATAGCTTGCCATGTAAACGGCCTGGTGGACTCACAATATATATACGTCTTGTAAAATTACTGTCAAAAACGATGAAGGAGGAAAAAGATACTTACCATCTTAATATTTCCTCAGTTATAAAGCAGTTCTGACGAAGTAGAATATCAATTTGTAAATAGCTCAGCCTCAAGGGAATGGTGAACAAAAGCCAAATACGTTTTCATCGTGGTCAATAATCAATTTCTTTATTTATATAAGTCCTCCATCATGGTGAATTGAAACCACAAACATTTGTTCTATGTTTCTCGATCGCATTAAATGAAAAATGTTCACGTCTAAAATAAAGCAAAGAATTAACATTAACAAAAAGGAAAACTTTATAAGAAGACGTATTGTACCCACGCGAGGTTCCGCGCAACGATCACGTGACAAATGACGTCTATACAAAAATAGAAATAGTAAAACTGTAATCATGACAACAATATAAGAGGACTTTTCATTTCAACAAAAAATTGAACCCTGCAATTTCCAAAGCTGGAACACATGCTTTTGGTTTATATCTTTTCATACCACGATATTCCTTAGCAAAGATGAAATCCTGAATCGATACTCTATCTTTCATCATTTTAACGAACTGCCGCTGGACAAACTTCTTTACAAGACTCACGTCTCTTTATTCAAATAAAATCCTTAAAGACTTCTCTAAAATCTGTTAGAAAAATAAAATCACAGACTGCTTTGAACTCAAAATTACCCACCCCCCCATCTGCAGAATCTTGTGTGATTGGATGACACAGTAAATATTGTCGATTGTTCCATACCTTAGCGACCGCTGGACATGTATCTCGCCGTACAGTCTCTAGTCCTTTCGCATCAAACACTGGATCTTTCTGTTCTAATGTTTCGTACATATAACCAACGTAACGTTTCTTTGTTTGAAGAACACAAGGCATATATACCTAAAAATCATCCCTAGTTATACATAAATGTATCTTAAAGTCCAAATCTCTCAAATAGACACAATTTTACAGTAGATCAAAACCTTTTCAAACTTTAGTTTCACAGGTTTAGGATTCTCTGCAGTAACAGCATCAACAATTTCTTTTCCAATCTTAAACGCTTCCTCTTTACTGGCACATTTTACTAATACGAAAAGACTATCGGTGTCCCCATATACCACGCGACCACCCCACTCATCCCTTGTGTTCACGAGATTGATAGCTCGTTCCAGGCTCTCGCGTGCTTTACGAACAATGGCGTCAGCAATCTGATGAAAAACAGAAAAGAATATTCAGATGGCTTTATGAGTAAAATGAATTCAGTATGACAATAAGCACTTGATAGATTTTCAATCTAAGAGAATGTGACTAAGTCCAGGCTCACGATAATCATAATAATCAACATGTATCTATATTATATATATTATATATTTACCAATTATCTGTAGTAAATATATTATATATTTATTGTAACTAAAATATATATGTGTATTGGTAAATATATAATATATATAATATAGATACAATCAATTATTAAAAAGTTTACGGCGCACGGTCTGTTTAGAGGGAATGGGGAGAGTTTGTTTAAATTTCTATCATGACAAGATCAAAGTTACCTCAACACAAGGCATTCGTCCTGAGAAGTTTGTTGATGTGTAACCATAAGTGACATTTGCAATCAACTTTAAAGCAAGTTGTCGAGCATCAAGAAGTTGAAGAAGAGTCTAAAATGTAAATTATTTATGATATTGAATGATTAAAGAAAACAAACGAAGAATGGAAAGGCATCTTTTTTGAACATGATGAAAACTCCATGACGTTTTAGCGACTGCATCATATAAAAACATTAAAGATCGCTTCAAAAACAAAGGTTTAATAAAACCAACTTACTTTATCATCTTTACAATCTTTCATAGCTTTCTTTACCATAATACGTGTGTCTAATATCTCCTGTATCATTCTAAAATAAATCAAATTTATTGAACATATAATAGCCAAAAATATCAAGACCCATTTAGGAGAGTAAAGACTTAAGAAGGAACGCTATGTACATTGCAAAATATACAACAAAATGCAAATGTTATTTTTTCAATAATCTTTTGAATAAATAAAAATGTGACCTGTAACCAAATGAATGTGAAATATCCCACATTACCTGGGTAAAATTCCTCGTCTTATGTTAGATTTTCTAAAACAGAGCCGTTGGTGCTTACATGAATATCATCTTGCAGTTTCTGAAAGGAAATGTATTGTTTCAAATGTATTGCTTGTCGTGATGGTAATTTATTAAAAATTCTCACCTCCAGTAATGTTGGAGGAACATTCAACGATGTACAACCAAACTCAAAATGAACAACGACATGTAAGACAGAGAAAATGACTTTTTACCTTAATTTTACAATCCATGCTACACGACAGAAGAAGATGAGCAGATTTCGGAAAGAATCTTATTGCAGAAACACCTTTAGTGTGACCAGACCTAAGAGAAAGATAAAATAATACAATAATACATAAGTAAGAATATCTCCATTGCTTTCTTTTATCACGACGGTAGAAGGATGAACTACAGGAAAACAAATACTTAAATGTTATTAAAAAGTGCTGTATAAAGTGAATATTTGCATCAGGAAGTATCGTTACGTTTTTGTCGAGGTTAGTAGAGTCCTGTGAAGGACTGTTGGTGTTGATGTTGACTGACGTTTCGACAACCTTAGCAGTAGTCATCTTCAGAGTCAAATGATAAGTAAATGTCAGGTTAGCCGTGTTACTTAAAACAAGTGCTAAGGAAGTCCAATACAATGTCTACAAACATACGTACGTAGTACTAGAACAAATCATTACTTTATAATAAATAATACACTGATAAATATGATTTTATAAACATATCACATGATCACCTAAACGTCTCGAATCAAACAGAAGCATCGTATTAAAAAAACGCTCATATTTTAAGTTTATATTTGGATGAGACGCTTTCTCTAATGAATACTGTAATGTATAATTGAACTTCCTCAATACCATCAAGAATTATATCATAAACTGTCTTTAAACTTAATTCAATTATTGCGTGTTTTCCTTAAAATCTACAAAATTTAAAGCATATTGATGACTCGAAGTCAGACGTTCCATGGCGTTTCTAATTACATTTTAGTAAGTAAACTTTCATATTTCTTCCGTTTTTGTTTTACAGTAAAGTAACAGAAAACAAACAAAAGCAAGAACAACTAAAATTCAATAGCGTGTTTAACGTCATTTCTGGTATTTTAACTTCCATTTTTTTGATTTTGAATAAATGAACTAAATGGAGAATTGTTTACATACCACGTATGAATATGTTGTTTTGGTAGAAAGCATCGTTCTGGAGGAGTATCTGACTTGAGATTAATGCCAAGATCTTGTGGAATGTGAAGATATGATCTTCCTTGATAGTCATATGCACCTTTAACTGAAAAATAATTACATTTGGTAAAGTTTAGGAAACTACAAGAAAGTATGAAAATTTTAACCTACTGTGTAATGTGGATTTCTCTTCTGAAGGTTTCATATCATCTTTCTTTGATTTGTTTTTCGTCGATAATTTATACTCCTCAAGGATTGTCGACTCTTTCTGTATTTACCAAGGTAAAACGTCAGAAAAATAATTGTATGATTTGAAAAATATCTTTATAAAACTCTTTATTTGGGTAATTGAAATACCTCAGATGGTTTAGCAATAGTTTCTTCATCAACAAACTTACTCCATGGTCCTATAGGATAACAGAGAATAAGAGATAGTAGGACAACCTTTCAAAAGTTATGATTATTGTGGTAATTGTACCCTTGTATCCATCAATAACACCAGGATCTCCCCTATCGTCTTCTTCCTCTTATCTCCCGCCCGCTGTTTTGTAGCTTCAAACACAGTCAATCCCTTGCTATCCTTTGCTTTCTTAAAATCCCCAACAAATATTAATGGATAACAAATGATATAAACATACAACATTACCAAGCCTATGCATTTTCGTACTCTGAGTCAGTATTTTGCCTGCGTGCAGAAATTGAGTTTTCCCTTTCCATGATCTTCAACTGCTCGTCAAGTCTAAACAGTAAATACCAAATCATTACAAATATAAGGCACGGTCAGTCAAGCACCTGCAAGTTGCATATACATCTCTACTTGTACGTACGTATAAAAACAAGAAATAATTTTTTATTCGATATTCCAACTTATTATTCACAATGTTACGACGTACATTCATAGCTTCAAAATTTTCCCACTTCATTTTTCTAAATTCACACTGTTTAAGACTTTAATATCTCTAGAAACATGTTGAACTTTTCGAACATACTTTTTCATCTGATTAAATGGAACAGTCAGTTCACTTGGATCAGTGCAACCATTCCATCGATGGTAAAGATCAGCGTACAAGTCCAGGTATATAACGTACTTGCATTTCCAATCTTCTTCTTCTGTAAGTTGTTCAAGATTTACGTATATTTGTTAAAAAAGTTTTCTGTGGTAAAACATTTCCACATAATGAGCATCAATAATTATGTGTCAAATCTGTTCCTTAGCTACAAGCCATTGTTTCTCAATTACTAACCAGTCTCAACTTCACGACCAAAAAAAGTCGATTCGTCCTTCATCCACTCACGAATATCATCTATTGAAATGCTGTGAGCTTTAGATAATGAAAAAGAAAATTTACTGCTTTCATGTGAGTCGTAAATAGTTCATATCCAAAATCGGAGTCAAATATAATCACACAGCAAATACAAACATATACTCACACGGAAAGCACCTGCATAACTTTTCAATATCTGATTTTGCAGTTTCTTCCACGTCAACAGCTCGCTTCATCCTTGCCATCAGCAAATTGCCTCAAAAAACAAAATTTAATTCATACCTGCTATTACATAATATGATGACATGTTAGCTATGTATATGTTCAAACAAAGAAGAAAAACTTGCTTTAGCTAAATTAATCTTAGTTTTCTTTCCATAATGTAAAAGAGCATCACTGAGTACATCAACTCTGTGACTTGGACGCATTTCTTTATTCATTCTGTTAAATTTGCGAATGTAAGACCAAAATCTCTCCAACATCTCACCGTCAGTTAGGCCAAATCTTTCTTTACGACGGGGACTAAATTTAACCTTTACAAGAAAGATTTAGTAAACAATTATTGAATTTTTATCATTTTATCATCTACAATACCATTAATTATGATAACATAGATATCAGCATCTGTTAATACGTATGAAAAATAAAAACAATAACAACTAACTTGGCATCGTCCAACATGCCCATAGCAGTGAAAAATTGGAATTGGAAATTGAAAAATGTCAACAATCGGATCCTCCAAATTCTTTTTGTAAAAAACAAAAATAAAGAAAAACATGTGAAAGACTACCTTTTCAAAGAAAAAAAGTGTTGAGGGAAAGTCATTGACAAAGGAAACAGGTAACAAAGCAACTATTGTCAATTGAATATTACCTGTAAGTGTTTCACCAACATGCATGCAACATCATACAATATGTTTATTTCGAGTGCAGGATTATCAACATTATCTTTCTCTAATTCTTGGAGAACATAAACTGCATAGCTCAATCTATAAAATATGTAGAATATTTTTTAAATAATGCAACCACATGTATGCAAAAAGCTTCAGCACTTGCACAAAGCATTGAAAGTAGCAAACCAATTGAAAAAAATAAATTTAACCATCAAAGGCATGCATCCTAACCACCTCTTTCAAACCAAGAACATTTAGGTAAAAATAGAGAAAATGTGTGTAATAGACATCTCTCCATGATTCAAATTTAAGAATTTTTTAGGAAACTCATGTCGACAGCCTCGCCCAAAGATTGCTGTTTCATCAAGAGCTCTGTAGCGATTCATTGATCGAACAGCATTCCCAGCAAGAAAACCATGACACTCCTATAAGTATCAATATGTAACAAACAAAAGTATACAAGAGCTTTATTTCCTAAAGCCCATGGCACAAATTTATTGAAAATAAAACTATGTGGTAGAGAATGTAAAAATCAAATATATTCAAAGCACTGTAACTTCCATGCCTGAATTTTCATTAGAATAACAAAGTATATTAAAGCTACATTGACCTTGTTTGATGTAGGTGTGGTATAATTGGCAACAAATTGATCAACATGTGTCTGATCATAGAACATCAGCTGTCCAAATAGAGGTTTTCCAAGACTCTGCCCAGCTTTTTCCTTCGTCCAATAAATAGAGCATCAAGAGACTCAAAGATCACACCATCAGTCTTCAATAAAATGGTGAAGGATAAAATCATGCAATGTATTTGAGTTCAATGATGCAAATGATGCAGTCAAAAGGTGTTTGAGATAGCATTGCTAATGTTCTTTTTACTAAATTGTCATTGTTAAACAAGTAATACGAATATACTCACTTTGGGACAAGTAGGACAGATATTTCCTTCATCAAGCTCAGGAATAACACAGCTCAACATGTTTAGTTTATGTCTGTAAATTCTGAAAAACAATGACACAAAGAAAGCAATTATGCACTCTTAAACAAATGACATAAACAAAATACAGTGCAAGACAGTAATACTTGAGGAAAAATCCTTTCCCATCATAAACTTTAGCATTTTGATTTCCTCCAATTAAATACATCTCTTAAGATGAGATTCTTAGGCTATAAAATTGACTGCAACTTTCCCAGCAATTCATACGTAGTACAGCAGTGCAATAAATCAGTGACCTACATGCAGTTACCTATATTCTTCAAAAGCATCTATAATGACAGGATACATTTTGGTGTTGCATAAGAAGAGAATATGTGGTTATGATTAAACTCTTCAAATGACTGACAAATGCTTTTATTGATGCCTGGCATTCCATCTGCACAGAATGAATCAATTCAAAAACTCAATTGCAAATGCAATTTTGGTTTTGTAGGTGTTCCACCCCAAAGGCCAAATTGCAGAAGTTGAACAAACTCTGGAGAGCATGAGCAAAACTGTACCTCAACAGTACAAAAGGTGCCTAAAATTGAAAAAGATCCAAAATTATAATTGTGTTGAACCATCCCAGCTAAAATGAAAAACTTTTGCAGCACATTTTACATATAACATACCTTTAACATCAACAACAGAAACACTTCTTTTGACGAGCTGTTTGGCATGAACAATCATACACCAGCATGTTCATGAGTTTATATGGCCAAAACATGCCATCCTACAAAGCAATGAATAACCTCGTAGAAATTAGTTGTAATCAATCCCTTTCTTGCATTCATAAAAATATTAGATTAGTGCTTCGTAGCATGTTTCACAATGTAAACTCTCATTTTATTTTTGCATTTTTTGTTGCAAGTGTTGAGAGAGTTAACTGTAAACACTTTTATAATATCTAGCTCATAAAGGTTACCTTAAATATTTCAACATGATGACAAATATTTACGGTTGTGTGCATCTTTAACATACAGTTCTCACAATACTTTGCCATTGGACCACAATCGCTGCACCTAAACTTTGCTTCATTATCACAATGAATACACTTCAGATTGCTCCAATTTTGCCAGCAAACTGAAATGTATTCTTTATAATTGAATGTCGCAAATTTTCCCATGCTTTTGTTTTCTTTCAACTTTCTGGTAATAAGAAGATGATTCTTCACAATCATGGTGAACATCACTTTCAAGATCACTGTTATCTTGTTCCATTCCCAGTTCATGGCCTTCCAATGCACCACAATTATCAGGACTGTTAAAAGAACAGCTTCCTCTATGATCCTCAGTAACCAATTCTGACAAATCCACCTCCTCTCTCAACATGGCCATCCTCATCATGATATGTGACAGCTACAGTTGCTTTAAACCTTTTATTGCTCCTACAAAAATTATCATAAAAATCTATAAAATGAAAATAAATGTTGAAAAGTCTAACAGCTATAAGGCCGTTATTTGGTGTACCTTGGCATCTTTTAAAATTACCAGCAAGAAAATCACAAATCAGAAAATATTATCGATATTACCAATGACACAATAACATAAGTTAAACGACCAAAGTACAACGTATGTATCTTCCACGACTACCTGCCGACGTTTTGTACCCGTACTTTACCGGCTTTTAGCCACGTCTCATAAGACGAATGAAGTGATTTGTTTGGTTGGTAAAACGAAAGGGTTTTTCTTCCGGTATATATTAGGAGCCTTTTTCCTAGGGGTAGGGTAACATATCTCACGTGACCGGAAACGTAAATCATTTAAATTATTCCACAGAATCGACTAGAACGCCGCACCTGAGATATCATGTAGTTGGTTGTGTCTTGTAATCTTTCTGAATTTGTGAAGGTATGTTGATTTTAAACTTTACCTTTCGTTGTTATATTGTATTTTGATTTTGTGATTTAATGTTTCATGTCCATTTATCGATTATTTTGTTTTTCTGTAAAATATTCTACTTCCGCGTTATGTACGTATGTAAATGTTTTATAAAGATAAATTTGTTGATTTTGGTGAGATTTGGAACTAGCTCGAATCAAGTTTGGAAAATGAACTTGTTAACTTTCATATATCTTTATATAATAATAAAAAGAAATAAATTTCTACTATATAATAGTAATGTTCTACATCGATACACATCATGTGCATGGTCACGAGGCAGTAGAGGAAATAAGATATTCATGGATAATTTCGTAAAAGCACTATTGCTAATGCGCATTTAATATACACGACAAGTTTTTTAAAATAGACATGTTTCGACATCTCATAATGCCATATCTTTATATGCGTGTGAAAATAGAACCAAAATTAATAGTTATTCTTTCGGGACCTCGCACGTAAGAATTCCATCTTCAGTATGAGTGAAATAATAAGTGATACAAGGTTTGTATAAAAGTAATATGATACATAAATTACAACAATAAACTAAATATTGTATTGAATTTAAAAACTTGAGCATTGAGGTCAGGGTTAGTTTTGTTAATGTGGAGTGTTTCTTTGATTTTAAGGGTGAATGAGGTGTCGGCAGTGTCGATGATTTTGAAGCAAGAGGGTGAATAGTTGAATTTACATGAGTGGGATTTAAGGTGTCGGTAGATATGAGAGTTTTTGTCTGGTGTGGTATGTTCCCTGATTCTGGTGGATAAATGGCGTGAAGTTTCGCCAGTGTATCGGGAATTACATTCCGCGCAATTAAATTCATATACCACCATAGATTTAATTGAATCAGAGATTGGGTCTTTGAATGAGAAAAGGTGTTTGATTTTGAATGATGTGAAAATTAGTCGAATGTCAATATCTGTACAGAAGCGTTTCATAATGTTTGTAAGTCTGCGTTGTGTGTGTCGTGAGTAATGTCCGATGTATGGTAGTTTGAAGTATAGAGTTGTTATTTTGGAATTTTCATTTGTGTTGGTCGTGATCGTCGTGTCAGGAGTTTCGGTGTCTAGTTTGAGGTTGGTCACGACACACACAACGCAGACTTACAAACATTTTGAAACGCTTTTATGTTCGATAAAAGAAATAATAATTTTAATAATAATATAATAATAATAATAATTAATAAAATTTTAATAATAATTTATTTAAATAATAATTTATTTTAATAATAATTTTAATAATAATTATTTAATAATAATAATTTATTTTAATAATAATTTTCATTTTGAAACGCTTTTATGTTCGATTTTACGCTTTTATGTTCGATTTTTTTCTGTTCGTTCTTATGTCTAGAATTTTGTTATATTTGTCATAAAAAAACTGAATGTCATTTTCGTGGTGGAATTCGCACTTCATATGTTTTATATTGATACATCTGTTGATTTTGGTGGGATTTTCCCAATAACACATTGGATAATTTATCATTTCAAAATACTGACCTTTCTTGCATTATCACCAACAATTAATTTCACTTGTCTTTTCAAATATCATTGGTACGGCAGGGCTAAAAAATCAACAAGATGAATCAAAATTATGACACGTAACAGAATTTCAGTTATGCATATCATTATGTGCAATAATTTTAATGTTATCTAACATGAGTTTTCTCAAGAAGAAATTTTTTCCTCATTCATATAGTCATCTATCTATTTATCATATTCGTAACACAGATAATGACAAAAAAACGTTTTGTTAGGTATGTCTTTAGAAATTGCGCCTAATTGGAGTGTAAATCTTACTTCTTGACGTGATAGTACACGTGATTTTTTTCTGTTCTATAATTGTTCAATATGTTTTAAGATAGACTATTTAAAATATTTGTTTGCGTCAAAAGTTCAAAAATCAACAAAACTTTGCATGATGAACTGTGAAGTCCAAACACTATTAATTTTGAAGTATTTCTGATTACTGAGATGTGACAAAATTAGAGACTTCGAGATTAATTACTCTGATATTCCCTTTTTAAAAAAGACTGCCCCTAAAATCTTGAGCCCCCCCCCAACTTTACTTGCTTCTCACGTCACTGAAACAAATGTGAAAGGTTTATTAGCATAAAGCTTCCAAGTCAAAACTTCTGTGTGTTTACTTCAGTCATAGCTAAAATATAAGATTTACATTTCATATTCTATTGGGTATGAACAGAATTCAATATTTACAATAAAAACAGCAGGTGATTAAAATCAAGCATTTATCTAACATTCCAATTTCTTAATTATCAAGCAAAAGCAAAGACGTCATGTAGTTGGTTATGTCGTCTTTAATCTTTCTGAATTTGTGAGGTATGTTGATTTTAAACTTTGCACGCCTTTATGTAATAGTTAAATGTAGATATGATCTTCGCACTTTGTTGGAAAATTTAAGCAATTGTCTCATGAACCTGAAAAATTCAGGTGACTCAACGGGATGCGAACCCATGACCTCTGCGGTGCCGGTGCAGTGCTCTGACCAACTGAGCTATGAAGTCACACAGTGGAGAGCAGGTCAATTTTGTTGGGTTCATGTTTTCTCGTGAAAAGAATGTCATATGAAAGAATGTTTTATGCAGTGCGATATTTGAAATTAAATGTAGATATGATCTTCGCACATTCCTTTCACGAGAAAACATGAACCCAACAAAATTGACCTGCTCACCACTGTGTGACTTCATAGCTCAGTTGGTCAGAGCACTGCAGAGGTCATGGGCTCGAATCCCGTTGAGTCACCTGAATTTTTCAGCTTCATGAGACAATTGCTTAAATTGTCTAACAAAGTGCGAAGATCATATCTACATTTAATTTCAAACATCGATGTATGTAATAGTGTATTTTAACCATATGATTTAATGTTTCGTGTCCATTTATCAATTATTTTGTTTTAATGTCATGAATATTGTAGTTAAATATAACTTATAAATTTTTTTGTGCTACATATGTTTTATATGGATAACATTTCTTAAGTTTGGTGGTTTTGTCAAACACAGATAAATTTTACACTGTGAAAATACCGACCTTTCCCACATCAATACCAATTTACTGCAATCGTTAATTTCAAATTATATCAATATAGCAAAGCTAAAAAATTAACATGAGTCAGAATAATGACACGTCAGAGAATTCTAGTGGTTTTATACATGATTTTATGTACTGCTGTATTATTTTTTACGTCATGGCTTTTGTGAAGAAGTAAAACAAATTCTTTTTTCTTCACTTATTACTTTTTATCAAAATCTTAAATTGACCATATTCTGCATTGTTAACAGTAATTAAACAAGATATATTTACAACATTAGTGTTTAGTGCAAATGTTATCGATGTATTTTTGATTTATATAACTATGGAATGATCAATTGTTAAAGATTTTCATGATAATTTTATGTACACTCTTCATAGAAATATCAATTCAACCAAAGATGACTTTCATTCAAAAACTATAGTCATTTTCTTTGCTGTATTTTTCGGAAACAAATTATACAGTTATTCAAATTGAATAATAACTATCGTTCTTATAAAATATAAACTTATGAGAATTCCTTCTGGATGTTTTGAAAAGGTAAAACCCTATTTTTGGGCTTACACAAGCAAGGACATACAAGTTTTTGCATAATTCTTGAGCGTCAGCAAGCATTTTCGAAAGCGTAGTAAGTACTGCTAGTTGATGGGGAGGCATCTTCCCTTTCTAATATTTCGTTATCGTGTGTCAATTTCCCACCAATTTCTTGAGAATGAAAAAATGATGCTATTTTGGTTTGACCACTCGTATCATCAATTGTCTTGTTCTTTTTATTTGCATCTTTTTTGCTCGTAAATCACGTGGTATTGCTCTAAATTTCTACTTATTGAACGAACTGATTTTATTGTTTTACAGAGCAATATTTATATAGTATTCATTACAAATAACAAATATTATCATTGGTCAAACAGTTGTTCCATCTAATATCTAATCTATATATGGTACATAAGGACGTCATATATGACGTCAATAAGTGTTTCTTAGGTGTTAACCGTATGGGAACGGATACATTGGTAAACCCAACTATGTACATTCTATTTCCCTAAACGCATTTTTGTCCTTTATGAACATGACTCAACACAAGCGATAAAATTATGCCAGCAAAATTCGACTGTGTAGTTGCCGTTCCTACAAACGCGAAGTTTTATGTTCCTCATAACAAAAACGTTACTAATTTAACATGTAAATTTTTCAAAGTAAACAGTACTTACACATTACATTCTCTGCCTTCAAAATTAATGTTTATTTTGTCCTTAGAAATTAATCAAAATGTTTTATGAAAAACGCGCTAAATTACAGCTGAACTAAAGACACACCAGCTAACAAGACTTCGAATCAGATAAAAGTAGAAGAATCTGTAAGTGGGGAACTTGCATATCGGGAATTAAGATATACGTCTACCATTTGCTCAAAATGTAAAAAGGGGTAACCATCTGACCACGTGGCCATGGCGCCCCTGGTAAAGTTTGTTTCCAAAAAATTTCTTTGCAGACGTACACCAGGAAATGACGTTCACCAAAAAGCATTAAACATTTAGACAAATCTCAAGGTAAAATGTCTTTCCATTTTTTCTCTGGGCCTTCTTTACTAATTTTTTGTTCTTTTGATATATTTAAACGTTTTCGATGTCAAAGTGTATGTCTATTTGAAATAAAGCTAAAACAACAATTTTTATGAAAAGGAGGCTTAAAGCCCCCCAAATTGCCCGTATGACATCGTTTTTTGAAATCAACGCCCCAATATTGAACAAAAGTCTACTCAAGTAAACTCCCGCGTTGGGGGACGATAACATTTCTCCGCCTGGTCTATTTTTTATACGCAGTCGCTACATAAGTTTTAAACTTGTATAAGCTAAAACTTATAAACTAAACTTGCTTCACTTTTTTTGACGACACGGTAGAAAGACCATGGAGGCATACAAG